ACATTTCCGGCCTGAAATGTGTCATGCTGCTTTCTGTAAGGCGGAAACGATGACACATTTCCGGCCTGAAATGTGTCATGCTTCTTTCTGTAAGGCGGAAAAGATGACACATTTCCGGCCTGAAATGTGTCCCTAAACCCTAAACCCTAGAGCCCCAAACCCTAGGCCCTAAACCCTAAAGTCCAAACCCTAGGCCCTAAACCCTATAGCCCAAACCCTATAAACCTTAGGCCCTAAACCCTAAAGCCCATACCCTAGGCCCTAAACCCTAGGCCCTAAACCCTAAAGCCCAAACCCTAGACCCTAAACCCTAATGCTCAAACCCTAGGCCCTAAACCCTAGCCTAAAATCCAGGCCCTAAACCCTATAGCCCAAACCCTAGCCCTAAAACCTAAAGCCAGCCTAGGGTGATTCTGGGGTTGGGGGGTGGGTTCAGGGGGGGAAGGGGGGGCTGATTAGAGGTAGGTGGGGCAGGGAGCCGGGGGCAGGGCGCGGGGACAGGGGCGAGGGCAGGGTAGGGGGCAAGGGCCAAGAAGGGGGGGGATAAGAAGGAGGCAGAGGAAGGGAGGGAAGATGGGGGCGGGGGAGGGATGGGATGGGGGGGGAGTGGGGAGGATGGGGGTATGGGGTGGCGGAAAAGATGACACATTTCCGGCCTGAAATGTGTCATGCTTCCTTCTGTAAGGCGGAAATGATGACACATTTCCGGCCTGAAATGTGTCATGCTTCTTTCTGTAAGGCGGAAAACGGCCTGAAATGTGTCATGCTTCTTTCTGTAAGGCGGAAACGATGACACATTTCCGGCCTGAAATGTGTCATGCTTCCTTCTGTAAGGCGGAAAAGATGACACATTTCCGGCCTGAAATGTGTCATGCTGCTTTCTGTAAGGCGGAAAAGATGACACATTTCCGGCCTGAAATGTGTCATGCTTCTTTCTGTAAGGCGGAAAAGATGACACATTTCCGGCCTGAAATGTGTCCCTAAACCCTAAACCCTAGAGCCCAAACCCTAGGCCCTAAACCCTAAAGTCCAAACCCTAGGCCCTAAACCCTATAGCCCAAACCCTATAAACCTTAGGCCCGAAACCCTAAAGCCCATACCCTAGGCCCTAAACCCTAGGCCCTAAACCCTAAAGCTCAAACCCTAGGCCCTAAACCCTAAAGCTCAAACCCTAAGGTCCTAAACCCTATAGCCTAAACCCTATAGCCCAAACCCTAGCCCTAAACCCTAAAGCCAGCGCAGGGTGGAGGAAGGGAGGGGGGGGGATAAGAAGGAGGCAGAGGAGGGGGGGGTGGGGGTGGGCGGGCTAGGCCCTAAACTGTGAGATTTGGGGGGGGGGTGGTGGCTGAGTGGGTGATAGGAGGAGGGGGGGGGGTGGGGGGAGGTGATCCATGAGCCTCATCCACAGAACCCCAGGATTTCAATTATTTAAATAATTGAAATAATTGAAATGGGGCTGATTTCAATTATTTCATTTGTTTCAATTATTTGGGCCCTCTGGCGTACTTAAATAATTGAAATAATTGAAATCCGAAAGCTCCATGGGCCCAAGCCACCAAATCCAGTGATTTGAATAATTGAAATAATTGAAATGGGGCTGATTTCAATTATTTCAATTATTTGGGCCCTTTGGCGGATTTAAATAATTGAAATAATTGAAATAGGTCGGATTTCAATTATTTCAATTATTTCAATAATTCAAATCGGTGGGATTCGTGGCTTGGCCCATAGCAACCATCGATTTCAATTATTTCAATTATTTGGGCCCTCTGGCGGATTTAAATAATTGAAATAATTGAAATCCGAAAGCTCCATGGGCCAAAGCCACCAAATCCAGTGATTTGAATAATTGAAATAATTGAAATAATTGAAATGGGGCTGATTTCAATTATTTCAATTATTTCAATTTGGGCCCTTTGGCGGATTTAAATAATTGAAATAATTGAAACAGGTCGGATTTCAATTATTTCAATTATTTCAATAATTCAAATCGGTGGGATTCGTGGCTTGGCCCATAGCAACCATCGATTTCAATTATTTCAATTATTTGGGCCCTCTGGCGGATTTAAATAATTGAAATAATTGAAATCCGAAAGCTCCATGGGCCCAAGCCACCAAATCCGGTGATTTGAATAATTGAAATAATTGAAATGGGGCTGATTTCAATTATTTCAATTATTTCAATTATTTGGGCCCTTTGGCGGATTTAAATAATTGAAATAATTGAAATCCGAAAGCTCCATGGGCCCAAGCCACCAAATCCAGTGATTGAATAATTGAAATAATTGAAATGGGGCTGATTTCAATTATTTCAATTATTTGGGCCCTTTGGCGGATTTAAATAATTGAAATAATTGAAATAGTCGGTTCAATTATTTCAATTATTTCAATAATTCAAATCGGTGGGGATTCGTGGCTTGGCCCATAGCAACCATCGATTTCAATTATTTAAATTATTTCAATTATTTGGGCCCTCTGGCGGACTTAAATAATTGAAATAATTGAAATCCGAAGGTTCGGTGGGCCCAAGCCACCAAATCCAGTGATTTGAATAATTGAAATAATTGAAATAATTGAAATGGGGCTGATTTCAATTATTTCAATTATTTCAATTATTTGGGCCCTTTGGCGGATTTAAATAATTGAAATAATTGAAATAGGTCGGATTTCAATTATTTCAATTATTTCAATTATTTCAATTTCAATAATTCAAATCGGTGGGATTCGTGGCTTGGCCCATAGCAACCATCGATTTCAATTATTTCAATTATTTGGGCCCTCTGGCGGATTTAAATAATTGACATAATTGAAATCCGAAAGCTCCATGGGCCCAAGCCACCAAATCCAGTGATTTGAATAATTGAAATAATTGAAATGGGGCTGATTTCAATTATTTCAATTATTTGGGCCCTTTGGCGGATTTAAATAATTGAAATAATTGAAATGGGTCGGATTTCAATTATTTCAATTATTTCAATTATTTCAATTATTCAAATCGGTGGGATTCGTGGCTTGGCCCATAGCAACCATCGATTTCAATTATTTCAATTATTTGGGCCCTCTGGCGGATTTAAATAATTGAAATAATTGAAATCCGAAAGCTCCATGGGCCCAAGCCACCAAATCCAGTGATTTGAATAATTGAAATAATTGAAATAATTGAAATGGGGCTGATTTCAATTATTTCAATTATTTGGGCCCTTTGGCGGATTTAAATAATTGAAATAATTGAAATGGGTCGGATTTCAATTATTTCAATTATTTCAATTATTTCAATAATTCAAGTCGGTGGGATTCGTGGCTTGGCCCATAGCAACCATCGATTTCAATTATTTCAATTATTTGGGCCCTCTGGCGGATTTAAATAATTGAAATAATTGAAATCAACTCTGCTGATTTAAATTATTTCAATTATTTCAATTATTTAGAATAATAGTAGTTATAAGGAAAAGAATAGAGCGTAAAATAGACCCTAGAGGCGCCTCTCTCATATATATATATATATATACATTGTGTGTACGTGTATGCGTGCATAAGTGTATGTCTATTCACATGCGTAGGTGTGTATACATATGTACATGTACAGGCACATCCGACAGAGGTGGCAGCAAAATTATATGCGACAAGATACAATAGGTGGCCACGGAGACTGCTACACGTGTGAGCAGGCAGCGAGTCTTTAAACGAATCTCAACTTGTGCAAGCACCGCACGAATGCACACACAAGTTTATGACTCCGCACATAACTCCGCATGAACATAAGCCACATACATGTAGAAAGGTTGCATGGTTGGATTAGTGTAAGGTCAGATAAGGTTAAATCAGAAAACAGTATGATAGATAGAGGTATATCAGTAGACAGATGGACCGATAGACACATAGATAACTGGGTACATAGTAGAGCATGTTACATGCAGATGAGCACGTATGTCTAGAACAGGGATGCGTGTATGCATACACACACACGCACACGCGCTGGTGGATCAGCCGAACCCACACACATATGGATGTATCTGAATCTCTATATATACACACATGCACATGTGTGCATAAATATATATATATATATATATATATATATATATTTACAATCTTATTTACAAATATTGGTGCATATGTGTGCGTTGCGTATGCCTCCGTAGGTAAACATGGCTGGTTGACATGCAATCCATGCTGACAACAGTTGGGATCGCAGCAGGACTCTTCTTTTCAGATTGCTCTGGCCTCCTTGGCAGACTTGAGTTGCTTTGAATGCAATGGACACGTGCTGGTGGCTTTCATTGACATTCGTTCTAGCACGTGTCAGCCAGCTCAGACCGAGGTTATCAAAAAGCATGGATCAGTTCGCATTCTGTGCCGAGCTTGACCATGCATGTCAGACGCATCAGAAGCACACGGCAAGTCAAACTGTTGACCGTGTTGGTTGCAGCTGTCGAAAGGTGCATGGGCACAGCATCGGCGAAGACCTGGAAGATGTCATTGTCCAAAGGTCCCTTGTTTTCATGAATCCAGATCTTTCTGACTGGCTACTTCCGTGGGAGATAGGCGCAGAACACATTCATGCGAAAACTCTCGACTGATCGAGGACTTTCTTCTTCGTCCCACGGTACAAGTGGAGGTCCAGACCAGGCTCTGATAGCGCGATGGAGAAGAGCCGTTGCCCTAGCGCACCAGTTGAACATTGACGCTCAAGGATGCCCTGACCACAGATCCGCCAGTCTCGAGTAGCAGGATGTCGAATTTCTAAGGATTTGGCACCTCCAAGTTTGAAGTGTTCCGAGTCCTGGCCGTGAGCAGAAGGGTTGAAGGATGTAGCACTCTGATTTGGCTGGAAGTGTCCGGCTCGCTTCACCTGTTTCTACAAAGCGGTCCTCGTCTGCTCTCTGTGGAAGTGTTGACGCCCGTGTCCGGTGTGTGATGGTAGTGAGCAGTGAGCAGTGGTGCTCCGAACACACCGTCGGCCCTGGTGAGGATCTGCTTTCTGCCGTTCCAGTGCAATCATGGCCGGAGTGTCTACCGTGCTGGCGGTTGTGGCCATCTGGCAAGAACAGTGGGTCCGAACTGCCTTGCTGCTTGGGCCACTTGGCTGCCTCAGGGTCACGTGCACAGACCAGGAGTCATTGAATTTTCGTTGTCACACATAAAGAAAAGGGACGGAATATGAGCATATATATATATATATATAATATACACACATATGTATACACGCATACAGATGCAATTACATTGGGAAAACTCGTTTTCGATTTAATATTTAATACTCAGAAGAGCAAAACAGAGAAAGGCAGTATGATTGACAGCGTTGTTACGCTTCACGCCCTGACAGCAATTCGTTGTAGTTCTGTTTTCCTCCGCGGCTATTAGTAGCTTTTAAAGCTATTGACTATTACCTCACTCATGCGCTGCGTTGACCCGATGCTATTGCGATTGTATTTCCATGGCTTGCAGTTCGTTTTTGTCAAAATAATCTCAAATTCATAGCAAGTTGCTGGGACCGAGTTCGAATCCACTCGCTCAGGTTCATTCTGCCCCTTTACGTGGTGTACAGCCTCCAAGCTGCAACTTGTAGATGCATCAGCCGATGCATGTCCAAGTGTAAGTTGCAGTTGTACCGCCCTGCTTTGCCGTTGTGCTTCTGAACCGGCATCCTCGTCTACGGAACATGCCGTGCAGCCAGGCCTCATCACGTGGCAATGCCTTTCCGTTTGGCAGCGCTTGTCGGAGTGCAGGCCCCGTGAGCCTTGCACATGGAACCCCCACCAATGTAGACGCCGTATGACGCCGCATACTTGAGCACCAGGCGCATGCTGGTGCTAACGCTCTGCTTGCAGAGTGCGGGCCTCGGCTGTGATCTCGGCGGCCCTGTGAGGGTCTGCACTTGCTATGTTCTTTCCGGGACCTACTTGGCACGGAGTGACAGATATGTCTGAAGTCATTCCCCCAAACCCTCAACCCGAAACATCCGCTTCCACAACAGTGGATTCTGCTAGTCGGAAAAAGGCGCTCAAACAAAAAGCATCCCAATCATGCCTGCCCAAAGTGGGCTGGAGGACGCAGTGAGCCTGCAGACACCAAAAGGCCCTCAAAAAAAACATGCGCTGGATCTGCATGACGTGCGTGTAAACATTTCGCGGATGATTATGTTTACAAGGTCTCTCTGCCTTTGGCTGCAGCTCAGGTTTAGGACTCCCAAGATACGCTCAAGTGAGGGACTGTGCACAGTACCTTAGACTAGCCGACGATGTTTCCTCAGATCAGAAGTCGAGAGTAAAACCAAGTTTGAGCAGGACCGGCTAGCAGTTGTTCAACGCGTCGAGCACTGTGCTTCGTTCCTTCGAGGTGTGGCTGTTTCCTTCGCAGAGTGGGACAGATCGCTCTCCACCTCGGGCTTGCTGATGCTGCACACAGCTTTTGCAGCCTGTTGGCACGAGATTTCAGTGACCCAGCTAGCCTGGGACCCTCCCTCTTCGACCAGATCTGCTACTGAGGTCAACAACTTCAGTCCGCTGGGGGTTCTAGAGATCTTCCTGGTGACTGCCATCTGTGGCATTCCAACCTACATTTTTCTCGTGTCGCGATCCCAGACAAACAGGTATGGAGTGCTCGCTCCATCAGAGGCTTACAGGCTTGCTTGTGCACTCACCTGAGGTTGTTTCCAGAATTTGAAATTTCGCTGGATCAGGCGCCCGCATGATGGGCCCTTGTAGATTATGTCCGATATGACAGTGCGGCCTCAGCGAAGGTTTCGAGGGTTTGATGGATCTGATGGACGATGTTGTAACATGTGCATTGAACAAGACCCACGAGACATTTCCTCATAACCAGTTCAAGTTGACTTCGAGCGCATTTTATCAAAGCTTTGAGCCCCTCCTGGACCTCGTCGCAGCATGGATGTGATGAACAAGCCGGAGTCAGAGCCACGGTCTTCCGCGACGTTCTCCTGCCACCTCTTGTGTGCTTTTGCCAGCAGCTCGACTGCGTGAAGTGACTTTCGTGCCAAAGAGAGAGAGTCGCTGTTGTCTCGGAAGTCATTCTCTCAAAATGTCAAGCAAAGCAGAGGTTTGCTTTGGCCATATGGCGTGACGAGTCAATGCGGCTAGACCTGCTACTCCGTGACCAGCTGCGGGCGCAACGTGCTTCGGACTTCGGTTGAAGGCTAGCAAAGGAGATAGTTTCACCTTGGATCAAGTGTCCAGCCAGTGTTGTCATTGTCAATGCGGGCAGTGCAACGACTTGACCGGCAGCCCTGCTGTTGGGAGTGTTCCGCAAAGGTCAGAAGCTGGATCAGGAGATGCGAAAGAGCGAGCACCTTCTGCAAAGTTTGCTGCCGCAGGCAGGGCCAGGTCCTCAACTCCTCTACTGACCATCGGAGTCATGCTTTTTGTAGTTGCAGGCCATCATCGATTCGCTTAAAGCCCACGAGCCAGTGGACTGCCAGGACTTTGATGATGTGACCGACACTTGGATCAACATGTGCTGCAATAACTTCAGTAAAGATTCCAGCCAGAGTCAGTTGCCACGTCAGCAGCCACGGCTAGCATGAAGTAATTGCTGCGAGGTGATTTTTGTTCAAGTGTGTGACTTTTCGACGATCTGTTCGCTGCTCCCCCCGAAGACGACCGTGCAAATGTTGGACAAGGCCCAGTTCCTAAATGAACCGGCAAAGTGGCAACTCCTCATCACTTTTGCCGCCCATGAGCAGGTCTTCCAGGAATTGGATCGACTGAGCGACTTGCTGAAAGTGCACAAGGCTTTGCTGAGCTGGCTCGACAGCTCTTACTATCAGCGCTAAATTCGTGAGGTGCGGTGATTTACAGCTCGACGGTGACGAAGATGAAGATGAAACTGAAGGTGAGGAGGAGGACGGCGACTGCGGTGATGACGAGGATGAGGTCATGAGGTCGATGGTGAATGTACTGCAGAGGACGGTGATGCTGACGGTGACGGCGTATGACGACGTGACGACACTGATGGTGGTAGTGGCTCCGCTGTTTCGGATGGTGATGCTCTCGTGGTGGTGATGATGATGATGATGGTCCCGATGAGGGCAAACAAGTGTGACTGGCACATGCCATGGATCTGGCCGCAGGAGAGATGCGAGCACGAAGCCCGAAGCAACGATTGCGCATCACTTTGAAGCCTGTGCAGGTGGAGACGGTTGGCGATGTTTACATGGCAGTTGCTGGGTGCCCGCAGCCAATCGTCCGGCCCTCGTGGCAGACACACTCCACAGCAGCACTTGACATCACGATTCATCTGTCAGAGAGACCCGGTGCCAAACGAGGCAAACCATGCAGATGTTGCAGCTCACTTCGCTATTGCAGCACAGTCCAGCATCGTGAGGCAAATGTGGTCAGAATGTATTCTTTGGGCATGGTTTTTCGAAGTAGTTGTGTGGCAAGCTGCAAGCTGGAATGCGGTTTGCACAGGATGCGTGCCTCTGATGTCATGGCACCGCAGGCGACCGCTTTTGCCCTGTATGTTTGTTCAAAGCTTCACAACCTAATTGGTTCTTCTGTCGCTGTCCGCAGCTTCTACCGAGTTTCTTGCTGGAGTTCATGCAGGACATCTCCTGGTTTGCACCTTTGTGCCCATCACGAAAACTGCAACGTGCAAACTAGTTTGAAGCCCATGTGTAAGAGTACCCGTGCAAGAGCAAGAGTGAGTTGGGCATGATGAGCCTTGGGCAAGGGTGTCGGTGGCAAGCGGCTCTCCACCATCCTTGGCGATCAGTCGCTGGACTGTGGGTTGCAGTGGGAGTGCAGAACGGTCGTAGCCCGCTCGATTTCTGCTACGTGCTAGGCCCCCCGCGTCTAGCATGCGATGTCCGTTTTGACCAAAGACAGCAACGGAGAGGAGCTCAACATTCGAATTGGGCTGAACAGCGGCAAGATTCGGGCAGGAACTTGGCCTGGTTGATCCGTGTGAGATGTCTAAAGCACGCGTGCAAGGCTCTAACTCGATCTAGCATTGTCGATGATGGAAGGGGTGGTGGGCTTGGACAAGCCTCGATACAAGCTTTTCGGGGACACCGTGAACACGGCCAGTCGGATGGAGAGCACTTCCGAGCCAGGACTCGCTTGGCAAGTCTTCTCGGCTTTTGTTGATTCAGGCACGCTAGGATCAGCGAAAAAAGCACCGGCAATGGGCACGGCTGTCTAGCGGTGTTCTCTGCAGAGCTAGCTATGTGATGTTACTGAGCTTGTCCTCGCCTGTGTTGGAATGTGTTCGAACTTCGCGACATTCGCTTGCCATGCAGGATGCACCCAGATCACAGAGGCCACGCAAGCCAGGCTGAGCGACACCTTCTACACGGAGGCAATGGAATGCTATCATTGGGGGCCATGTACCTTCTTTCAAGAGCCTTGAAGCCTCCAGAAACTGTTTCAGGCACGTGGCGAGATTGAAGTGAAAGGAAAGGGCACACTGAGGATTCGGATTCGGATGTACCATGACGCAGCACAAACGGCGTAGCCACGCGCAGTGCTGCATGTTGCTCATTTGTCTTTCGCAACTGCACCCTGACACTTTTCGGGCCAGGACTCACTTCTTGCGCGGGTACAATGTCATGGAGCAATCGCAGAGTATGACGATGTCATCACACAAGGTGCAGGCGAGAAATATCGAGATGCTTGCTTATTGGTCGGTTTGGACATGGAATCACAGTAGACATCTTGCTTGGAGGACTCAGTGACCATTCGGGTGGGGCAGAAGGCCCACAGAGTGCCTCGGCTCGCAGCCAGAAGACCTCGGCCAGTTCTGCCGCAGCCCTGCTGCCCCAAGTAGCAGCCTTCGTACGACACTGCCGTACACTTGCCAAGGTTCAGTTCTCAGAGGGAGGTGAAGAAAGCAAGTCGCTAGCAGTGGTGCCAGGACTTGCGAGTTCTCGGCAAACTCAATAGAACACTGTCACATGTCAGACATGAAGAGAAAAGGTATGAAGAGATCACATGCTTTGCGCAGGACAGAGGCTGCTGAGAAGAGCTGCAGGCAATGCTTTGAAGGAGCTGATGGCAACCATGCCGCAGCACAGCCAGGCGCATCCAGCCTGCTTCAGCCCTTCTGTTACTTGTAACGAGCTCTTCACCCGGTGCGTCGAGTACCGACCTGCCAGGACTTTCTGGCTGGCTTTGCCCACATGCACCAGACAAAGCCCCTCAGCCACTTCTCGGCGCGGTCTTCGAAGTGGTGCCGTGGCGGATGTCAGCCTCCCGACACACTGTCTTACACAGCGGGCAATGCAGTGCTCGAAAGAAGTTACTGTAGCCTGCAGGCCCAGTGCAAACCGAGTGCGCCAGCTTGCCATTGCGCAAGGTACGACTGGCTGGACATGAAGCTTCTCATGGTGCCAGAATCCTCCAAATCGCCAGAGATGCTTCAGACTTTGCGAGCAGACAAGTACGAATTCAAGCAGAGCTCGCTGGACACTTGCTGCTACCAGAATGCTAGGTTTCACCATCATGCTAGGTTCGCGATGGCAGTTTCACGAGCGGTTGATCTTTGATTGGCTTTTGCGGCTTTCCCGACTTGCTGGCTGTTCGCATCGTTTTTGCACGGGTCCTCATCTAGCGAGTGAACCTGCAGGATCGGCGGATCTTCTTCGCGCGAACACTGATCATTGCATGGCACGTCTTGATCGCAGCAGCCGGGACTCTGGACTATGCTTTCGACATTGGTTCTCGTCCCTTGGGCCAGAATAGATCTTGCATATGTCATACCTAGCAAGCCAACGCATGAGATAGTGGACCATAACAATGTCGTTCTTGTTGTTTGCGAGCTGAGGAAAGATCCGGGAAACATCTGGATTTGTCAACAAACTAAGTAACTGAGCAGAGCCCGGCAAAACCTAAAGAAAGCCATGAGCGACTACGGAAAGCTATGAACAACCTATGGAAGACTAAAGAATTCCATCCATCAATACTGCCTCAATATCTCCTAGCACACAACTTAATTTTCACAAAGCGAGTACTTCCTACACTCTCGCCATTGACCGGTTGGGGGCCTCGCGATAGCAATTTCGCGTTTGTTATGAAAGCCTAGGAAAAGCATGACAACGACTAGAAGAAGCTAGAACATGCTAAAGACTAGAAAAACTAGAAAAGCCGGACATCGGATTAAACGGACATGAGTATGGATGATGCATGCATATGTGTGTATATGTACGCACATGCATATTGTATCTGCATGTATGTATGTATGTATGTATGTCGGTGTTCTGCATTATATGTATGTATGTATCAAGATAACTTCCAATCTATCCATGAAAATAGATGAATGCTTGTATGTATGTATGCATGTATGTGAGCATGCACGCATCAAGCAGTCGGTTTAGTGTAGTTCTATTTGCCCACCTGCCTGATGCCACGTACACACTGTTATACTTTTACAGTACCTCTTGAATCCTCTCGAGATCAAAGAGCTGAGGTGACTGGGAGCGCTATCGTTTGGGCGTGATGGTGAGAACTTGGGGAATCCAAGTCATTGGCTGGGTTCACCTCTGTCTCCTCATGGAAGCCCCGGCTGTAGCCAGCACGAGTTTTTTTTGCCATGGGTTCGATGGCTTGGTGGCGTTCTGCCAGCTTCCAACACGAGCAAGCTCAATTCTGTATAGAGAACTCAGACCGGACTCCACGCGGAACGCAGCAACAATAGCATTGGCTGATTCTCATTACGGTCGGCAGATGCCTCCACAGCTCCAGGACAAAGATCGCTTTAGTCGGCGTGGCAAGCTCATCACCGTGGTGATGCTGGCACTTCAAGGTGCTTCCATAGAGGTGCTGAATGTCTTGATCTACAATAATGATGCTTGCCTGCAGCATGTCTCCAAAAGCGTATGGCCATATGAGTCGGCAAGGATCCCCATTTGACATTGGTTGTTCCTCTCGCGCAGCAGCCATCGCAATCATTCACAAGATGCTCCGGCTCAGGAACCCTCGTTCTACATGATGTATGGTCTGTACGTACTTTTCAGCGTCTCATCAGCAGAGTGACGAAGTAGCGCTGTCTTTGAAAGCATTTCGCGGCTGTGCCGAACGCAATGCATGAAGAGGTTACTTCGCTTCTGTTATCGATACCGAGGTAAGACCTGCCCTTTTACTGTCCGGGTGCTCCTTTGTTTCGTGTCACTGATGACATGGGCCTTAGTCGACAACGTGTGACGTGGCTGCCAGTCCTGGCTTTGCATTCAAGATGTCTCTCCTGCTGCCTCAAAAGCTGCCGTTGATGAGCTCAGGCAATGCGACTGGCAAGTGCGTCAGCGTGCTGCGGAGTATGTAAGCCAAAGCCTCGTTCACATTTCAGCACCGTCGCTGTATACTTGCTATCGAAGCCTCAGTAAAGTGCTTCAGGTTACACTGGTGCGGTGTTCCTGCTGACAGCAGCTGGCATCAGGCAGGGATAGAGGACTGTAGAGTACTCCATGTTTCTGCGCTACTTGATCCTTTTCTGCAGGATGCAAGAGCACCTCGACCACTGTGCAGCTTGGTCAAGTCAGTCATAGTCACTCCTGTTGTTGAGGCCTCGGCCTTTCCGTTGGTCGGTCTGCCTTGTGATTGTGACGCGAAAGAAGGCAGACTTCTACAAGCGGCACGTGCAGAGACGCATTCGGGAAATCTCAGCAGCTTGGCTGATACTTGACGTTACAAGGCTGACCGGAGACCCAACGATGCCAAGAGCCCACGCCGGCCTAAATATTAGTAGGTCTATTATAACCTCTGCAGCAGTCCAAGAAGCCACAGCGAACACTGATGATGGGTGCTTTTCAGTGGCGCGGAAGAAGACTGTCGTTTCTTGACGAGCCCTTCTCAGGACACGAAGCTGGGAAGCCAGACCCTGTTGGCCAAGATTCTGCCTCCTCATGTTGTCGAGTTGGTAAATGCCGCTCTGGCAGCATTGCAAAGACCACGTTTCCATAGAAGCGGACTAGTGTCGTTTGCTGAAATCAAGTTCTGCGGGCGAAGTCCTCGGCAGCTGGATCTTACTGGTAGTGGTCACACTCAGTGCACTGCCGTAGAGGTCAGCGTATGATCAAACAATATCAAACAGTCCCAGCACTCATTGCAAGCCATGTACACTGTTTGGCCCTGTCTGTAGAGAATCGTATTGATTGAGGACAACGTATCACCGATTGCAGAAGACTTTCCAGACGTCACCATTGTGTTCACAGAAGCTTGGATCAATCAGAGTGCATCTTGTGACACATCAGCATGTTTGCAACATGGTAAGGATCTGAAAGGCTTCACGGCCTTTTGCTCGCGCGGCTGTGCAGCAGTTGGGATTTGCTCCTGAGAACCCATCCTGCACCATGAGATTTGGACATTGGGCCAGGCATCACTCCAACGGAACTGGTGGAGTTGTTGAACCTGCTCTACTCTGCCTTTGACGAAGTCATACTGGAGTGGGGCCTGTACAAAGTGGCGACTAGCCTGCAAGCCACCAGCATTCCGCTATGTCTTACGGGTTGCCCCGAATCTGATGTTCCACGGAATAGTTGCGAAGGATAGTTTGTGACAGGCTTGCCGACATTGACTGTGCATGTTCCTTGTCAGCCCGTTCTTCGAGAGGGGCCAACTACCAACAAAGACAGGTGTCAGCAATCACATGGTACAACGCAGCCCCCCGAGCCCTGCTAGCTGGTTGAGCCGCTTCTGAACGTGCGAGTGATCGACCTCGGTTTGAGTTTCAGCTTCAGACATCCAGGCCTGCTCTCGGCTAACCGGCGACCTCGCCCAACAGAGTGTCAACCATCAGGAAGTCATCGGCGACGCCTACTTTATCTCATCGGGTTGCCCTGCACGGGAGGTGCGCTGATGCAGGGCTCCGTGACGCCTCAGTTTCTGCACTCTGGGGATGCGAACTCAGAGAAATGGAATCGTTCTTGTTGTGGGGTAGAGAGGTCATGTTCTGATCCCAAGCGCAGAACGCCCGTATAGCACTGTTTAAACCATCAAAGCGCCGAGCCGTCGAAGGAGGAGTCCAACTTCCCCGACGAGTTTGCCATGCGAGCCGTGGAGGAGCTCAATGTTCGCTACTAATGACATGCTTTGCTTTTCCTCGCATGGATATCTTATTGAGTTTATGTTCGCGTGTGGCATTGTGGATGCATCATGGGTTGCGTGCATAAAGCCAGCGTTTCGTCGCCTTTGTCGCTTTATCTTGTTTCTGCCGACCTCGCCCACAGGTTGCTCTCGCGATGCAGCGTGTGATCCCGACGGTGTTTGATGACAGCTCCGTGCTGATGAGCCACTTGGCCATATCTGGCCATGCAGTGTATCAGTCTCCCTCAGACACCTTCACGCTGCAGCGTCGCCAGCCAGTGCAGCTCCGTGTTGGATGTCCAACATGACTTCCGCCCCAAAGTGTGCCGAAGACAGGAGCCGGCATCCACACGGGCAACGTCGTGGCTGGTGTGGTTGGCAAGAAAGGAGTGTGCATGTTTGAATCATTTGACAGGTCCACTTCAAATTCTCATGTTGTTGTAATACCGAATAGTAGCGCAGCAGTAGTCGCAGTCGCAGTGGCAGTGGCAGCATCAGCAGCAGGAGCAGTAGCAGTAGCAGTAGCAGGCGCAGTAGCAGTAGCAGTAGCAGTAGCAGTGGCAGTGGCAGTAGCAGTAGCAGTAGCAGTAGCAGTAGCAGTAGCAGTAGTAGTAGTAGTAGTAGTAGTAGTAGTAGTAGTAGTAGTAGTAGCAGTGGTAGTGGTAGTGGTAGTGGTAGTGGTAGTGTAGTGGTAGTAGTAGTAGTAGTAGCAGTAGGCAGTAGGCAGTAGCAGTAGCAGTAGCAGTAGCAGTAGCAGTAGTAGTAGTAGTCGTAGTCGTAGTCGTAGTCGTAGTCGTAGTAGTAGTAGTAGTAGCAGCTCCTACTACTACTACTACTACTACTACTACTACTCCTGCTACTGCTACTACTACTACTACTACTACTACTACTACTACTACTACAACCACTGCTACTACTACTACTACTACTACTACTACTACTACTACTACTACTACTACCACTACCAATGCTACTGCTACTGCTACTACAGATACACCGATGGTCGCAGTGATGCCTCTTTGGCAAGTTTCATAATGGCCGGCAGATGCCAGCATCACAATTTCGAAGGTTGATGCCTGCCGCAGGACCCCGATACCATCTTTTTGGTCCGGCAGTGGAGTTCGCCAACCTCATGGAGAGCACCGGGGTACCCGGCAAAGTTCAGATCAGCCGCTCGGCAAGGAATCTTCAATGTGCACTTCTATTTGATGTTCCCTACCGCTATACCGATACCGCTTGGATCTAGAAGTAAGGTCAATCAACGCGAACATGGTTAGACGAGGGAGGTCATGACTACGACTTTGAGCAGCGTATTGTCCCTTGGTTGTCCATGGAGCGAAGTGGGGGCGTCGGGGACTGGCCGATGCTGTGTCGAGGGCTGCAGGCCGCAAGGTTTGGGCTTTCTTTCGAGGCTCAGTTGGATGGTCACGAGCATCAGACTTACCTGGTCACCAAGAGCAAGGCCGGGAAGATTTGTTACATTCTTTCCTAAAGCCCAGTCCCGTAAACCGTCTCTTGATCATGCGGAGCTACCAGACTCACAAGCCACGGGCACTTGCAGTTTCATGTTCTTGCAAACAGAGGCCAAAGCTGCACGGCAGATTCGCACCGCCTTGGCTACAAGACGTCAGGAAGTGCAGGCCGGATGTAGCATGCCAAAACAAGCCACAATCGCAAGCCGTTCATCAGTCTGGAAGATGCAATCCCGCACCAGAACATTCATGATTTATGGTCGCAGATGTGTGATAGCCGGGCGATCTGCTGCCAGACCAAGACCTGCTGCAGGCCATGTCATCGCTCACCAGTTATCAAAGTGAAGGAGGAAAGCGTGTGTCTGAAAGAACCGCGGATCTTACGTAGCGCATAGGCTCAACACGCCTCGTGGCCTTCTGTTGAAGCACGGTTCCTCGGTGGGAGGAACGGAGTGCGTGGTCCTTGTTTAATCGTGTTTACCGAAGAAGCAGCGCGCTTCAAAGTCAATTCGTTTTAACTGCACGGGCGTCTCAAAGTCGCCGAGAGCCGACAGGGTGTCAGCTTTTGATTTCCGTAAACACCTACAAAATGACGTCAGGAGCCTTCTTCAGTCTTTGCTTGACCGTCTAAAGGACTTATTTTGTCGGACGGATTTCTAATCTTTGCAAGCCTTCGGCTTCATCTGATTTGATATTTTCAATGTCTTGCAGCCTGCAGCGCAACGTGTCCTTGTCATTGTAGGTTGATATTCTGGCAAAACGCCAGTTCGACAACATGCCACCAGGTGGTTGCCGAGAATCAGTGCAGGGTGGCAGGTCTTTTGTAAACAGCTGTTCGTATACATTAAGCTGGCCCGGCATATGGTGTTTGCAGATTCACGGATATTCACGGCACATCGATCCTGCAACAATTGTACAGTGTGCAAATCATCTCAAGGATGATGGCGACAAAGGGTTCGGCTTGGACCCAGTGGCCCTGGGCCATGGCCCTCGGCCGCTCGCCGCAGGTCTGCGCAAAAGGTCGTCGCTGCTCGTCGCTGCGGCAAGGGAAGCATTGGGTTGGCTCCAGGCAGCTCTGAAGGTTGGCCGTTCGGAGCATTCGGACCAGTCTGCCAACGCTACACAGGCCTGGAGTCGTGCTTTATTTCTTTACGGGGACGGTGTAGCTGCCAGGCCACTCGAACGACCACCACCACCACTCCGAAGGCAATCACACCGAAGGAAGAGGCTCGTGTGATGGTGGCAGCCGGGTACAGCTGATGCTTTGCATCAACAGGGCCGCTTGCATTTGTCGGCGGTGTGTTGTGGCTTCCCAAACGCAGGAGCAGGATGCCGACGACGGCTTTTCATGGTTCGATTGGCTCAGCCTACTGAAGGCACCTCTGCCTGCACATTGACTGAAGTTCTAAGATGAAGGTGGAGCATTCTCGATTTGGTTCGCGATGTGCGCAAGTGAGGCATGCAGATGCAGACACACACACACACACACACGAACGAAACGGATGCAACTTCCTGCATTTTCCTGCGGAATTACCCGACTCTCTACATGACTACCACTCGCGACAGATTGGAATCTTTTGATCCACCCCGGGCATCAAATTGTTCATTACTCACCTCCAGGAGTCCCGCGCAAATGCGACCGGCATTTCTTCTGAGGCGCAAGAAGTCCGAGCTCGAGTGTGGAGTGCTTTCTTACGCTGCAGGGTGTCAAAGACGTCTTGTGCAGGGCCCGAGCATTGAGCTGTGTCCCGAACAGTCTTTGGCACAAAGCGTCCACTTTCGGAGAGCTCGAAAGCTTTTAGCCATGGCCTGGAATGCATTGCATGGATGTTCTCAAGGGCTACGTGGCCCACTCGATGTCCTCGAACAGAAAGATGAGATCATCCGGCCCGATGGTCAGGTTGCAGCATGTACAGAAGAGCCCGAGATAGTGAAGCTGAGGGCTGGAGATCGCATGTTTGGCATGATGCCATTGCCTTTCGCGACATACCCAGCCATTGCAATGCGCTACTCAAGCGTAGATGTGTCAAAATTGAAGAGGTCCTTGGGAAAGGCTCTGAAGGCTGTTCCCATGATGGCGGGAAGACTTCGCAGCACTGAAGGCGGATACGAGGTAGTCCTGAATGGAGAGGGCGTGCCTTTCTCCATTGTACAAAGCTCAGAGAAGGTTGCGCCAGAGTTTGTCGAAGAGTTCAGGCTGCCAGACTTCGCAATTTACTGCCGACCCCCAGCAGTTCGAGCCGGTCGTGAACCGCTGATGACTGTGAAGCTGACCCTTTTCCAGGATGGAAGCGGAATATTGGCTTTCTGTCGCTCACACATGCTGTTGGACGGAAGTTCCGCCTGGACGTTTCTGTCTTTTTGGGCAAGCCTTGCGCGGGGGGATGCAGCGACAGCACCATGCACGAGTAGAGAGAAGATGGAGGAGCTTATCCCTGATGAAAGCAGAACGCAGGAACTCGCACAAAAAGAGATCGGCAAGCAGCTGACCAACTCTTGGTTCATGGGCCTCGTTGGATTTCTGGTGCCAGTTCTTGCCCCTGTTGTCGACACCCTCTTTCTGCACACCAGACTGGGCCTGAACAGACACCGAGTTTATTTCTCGGACGAGGAGCTGGCAATTATCAAGGATGAGGCCACGCCGACCGAAGTACAGCCGGGTCAGGACAAGTGGGTCACGACACAGGAGGCATTCTGCGCCTACCTGTTGATGACTTTGGGCAAGCACATTCTTCCTGCAGATGCGAAAGGCATGGTTCAGATGATGTTCCTGCTCGACGTGCGAAAGGCGCTGGGGCTTCCAGCAAACCAACTAATGGGCGGTGGCTTGACTTTCACAAGCGTCCTCATATCGGACCTGAAGCTTCGGACGCTCCCGGAGCTTGCCAGTCAGTTGCATGAGAGCCTCTCCAAACGCGAAGGCTCGCTGGAAGCACAGAAGGCACGTTGGCAGCTACTGAACGGTGCCTGTGAGAAAAAGATGGAACACACCCTCATGCAGGAAATCCACAACAAGACTGTTGACATGAAGCTGGCGGTCAACAACTCATCTAAACGGCCCCTCTTGGATTTCGGTTCGGGCCCTGCAGAAAGTGTCGTTTCTGATGCAGGACCCAGCCTTCTTGTTCCAGCAAAGGGCGGTGGTCTTTTCCTGTATCTTGACCCGAACGTCTTCTCAAGTGCCAAGTGCTCCTCCAAGGAGAAGCGTAGCCAGGCGCTCGAAGCCCTTCGGGCTGATCTCCCGCAGAGGGGCACCAAGAGGAAAGTTCACGGCTGAACAACAACGAACAGCCTATGGGCTTGACTGACTGACTGACTTTTGGAGATTTCTGAGATAATGTGTCTCACCGCCATGTGGCCATATGCCGTATGCTTTGTGCTTGACAAGGCGTATGATGGCAGCTCGTGTCGTCTTATCCCAGCTGGTCCAGCCAACACTAACGCTGACTCCCGCTAAAGATTCTGGATGCCCTCATCCGAGCCGACCAGCGAGATCAGAATCTAGACGTGCATTGTCAATCTGATCCTAGCCGGCAACGCGCCACCGACGTCACCGCCACAGGGCGAAGGAAAAGGAGCCGATGCCTGGTCCACCTTGCCTGAGAACTCAGTTTGCTGTCGTAAGCACGTCGCAGTCGTGTGATGATCGTGCCTGCATGCTCTAGAATGTCTGTTCTCCGGGCACGTGTTAGCGATTCACACAGAGCCCGAATCCAACGACGAAGTGGAATGGCAAAGCTCGTTTCGAGACCACTTACGCACCTTCGCCGGGCTTGAGATCCGAGATTGCCCGAAAACTGATTGGAGATTGAGGCCGATCGCGTTGGTAGTTGGTAGAATTGCTTGTCCTCGTGGAACTGCTTCCCCTCGTTCTCGTTTGCGTGATCACTGTCGCTGCATAGCGTAGAGTCGTAAGAGCTGCAATGCTTGCCCCCCCCCCTCTTCAGTTGTCCAAGAACTTTGCCAGTTTCTGCGGCGCACTGCTCTGCTCCAAAGTCCGGCCGTCAAAGCCGCAGGGCCTTTGGAGGCGCCTGAGTTCCGACAGTTGAGCTCCGAATGCCTGGCTGCGTCTTACAGGTCAAGAACTTCAAGCCAGGCCGTGGCTGGGAGACAGCCCAGGCGAAGGAGGCCCGGGACCCTTGGACCCTTCGTTGCCGCGTCCTCCGGCGCTCTGGAGCTCAGATGAGCTCAGGCAACTGCACCAACTGCACCCTTCGCCTGAAAGCTCTGAGAGTCGGACGATACATCTGCCGGCACCCTGTTCCGCTTCTTGCTTCAGTTTGAGGCAGCTGGTAAATGCTGTCTTGGACTCAGGCCGAAATACTCGAGATTACTTGTGGTGCTTCGAAGCAAGGCTGAATGCCAGCATCTGAGGGCTTCTTCGGGTTTGCAAAAGTCCTTTCGCCGTCATCCAATGCTCAGGCAACAGAAATGCACGATCGCAGCAGCGAGGCAACTCTGTCGAGGCAGCTAGACCCAGGCGGCAGCAGAAAGAGTGACAGCACTGGAGACACTGTACTAATAATGAACAAGTACCCGGTCTGCCGAAAGAGATGTTATTAATAGAACCCACTGCTTCTGCTCCACTCTGCTCCTGTGGCCAGCGAGCAGCATGATGTGCGAGAAGAGCACAAATGAGCTCGCATGCTCGTCGCAGCCAGCGCAGATGAAAGACTCGAGGACGCATTGCAGCTGCCGATGGCAGGAGTTGCAAGGCCATTCGCAGGCAGTAAATCCGTTGACCGCTGAGGCGGCAATGCTCGATCGCGATTCATCCAATGAGGCGCGCCTATGTTCACGTTTAGAAATCTAGCTTGATGGACGGTAGTGAACGTCGTCCAACAAGATGCTTTCCAGGTGCGGATTGAGAGACTCAAGGACCAGTGCCTTGGCAAGCAGTCGACTTGCTGAGTGCTTTTGCACCTTAATCATCTGTCATGTCACAGCGTTTTAGCCGAGGGTGGCCGGCCTGTACAAGGAGGTGCAGATCGCCAGGGCCTCGGCTCAGGGGCCGAGCGCGGCATAGGTTTTTTTCTCTCTTTCAGATATTTTCTTGGAGGTCCGAGCATCCAACGAGTCGTTGAAGGTGGAGAACGCGCAGGCGTACGAAGTGCGGATGGCATGGGAGCGTCAGAAAATGAGGATGCTGAGTTGTGAGAGAGGGACGCGCGTGAGGACGGCATGACTATGTTTGAGAACCTGTGAAATGGTACTTTCGTCGCCCGTCTCATTCCGAGTCTGAAGCAAAAACAGGCTTTTGAGCGAGCAGCGCAAGCTGAAGACGAGGCTCATCAGGCCAGCCCAGCAAGGAGTGGGGCAGAGCCAGACGGATAGCAATACTCTGCAAAGTCTCTGCGTCAGAAGGGAAGTACAGTCCTTTGCAGGTGTAGTTTTGTATGTGTATGTATATGTATGTTATGGTCCCTGCCTTCCACCGTGGTCTACCCTTTCGTGGCTTCTGGCATCTTCTGGCAGAGCCTGGAGAGTTTGGGGTTCTTGGTTGGCTTCGGCATGCAGCTTATTTAACGTGGACTAGGTGACTAGGTTATGATGCGGGGCTTCGAAACGACTTATCTTCAAAGCAATACTGATCGCATGGGGTGAGATATCACCACATGTGCTCTCCCCTCCATTCCCCTCCTAGTATTTAGGGTTGCCAAAGTCTGAAACATTGGAGCCTTCAAGCATGTAGGAGCTCCAAGATTGCCAACGGCGTGAAAGATACCAATGCTTGTTGGTGTTCGGGAGACGGAAGTACTCAGGTCCCACCAAAACCAATGCCACCAGCAAGCGACAAACAATCGGGCTTACGTCTCCCAAGAGAGGTCCCAACATTTCCGGTTTCTTCAGCCGCCCCAACACATGTCCTTCCCAGCACTTGGCAGCTCTACGGATTAGCCACAGCAGCTACACTAATATCGAGCTCTGGACAATGCCAGGACCTGACGAAACGAATGTTGCTAGTGCCCGATAACTGTCCGTGTGTACAAACCTAAGTCCTGTTACCAGCTTTGCCAGCAGCAGCATCACCAACAATATTGACAATACTGACATTAGCTGAGACTGGTAGCAGTAGTAGCATAAGCATGCATAAGCTATAAGTTCTATAAGGTGATAGAGCTGGGGCCAATGGCATCTGTCTATGATTGTAAGGTTGGCAATGGGGATTTGTAAACTGAGTAAGATGACGAAGGGCATGTTGCTAGTACCCCCTGTGCCACTAGTCTTGATTTTATGCGCGGTATGTGTGCCTTCGTTCTTGGCCAGCACAGAGTTCTTGGGTATTGTCAGATGCGAGAGCAATGTTGCTAGTGCCGGCAACGCTCCTAGCCTTAGCAGTATCATTTTGAACAGCACTGTCGTTGGCACTTCCAATCCCGCTGTTGACATTCATAGTGATATTAGTTCGTCAATGCTGGCACGAGTTCTGTTGGTAATGATGTGTCAGCGTCGTTACAGTGCCCTGCTAGTGTTAGATGCGCTTCTTTCTGATGTTCGAAACTCTGCAGAGAGCTATTCAATCGATCGCATGCAGAGTATGAGCAGCATACTAAAGATTGAGCACCATGATATGAACTTTACCGACAATTCGTTCCCTCAATGCCACATGCGCGAAATGTAGCGAAGCCGACAGAAGTACTGGCACGAGCAACATCGTCATGACTGGCATCACTAGCATGATAAATGAAATTGGGCATGACCAGTAGTATTGGTAGCATTAGCAACAGCAGCAGCAGCAACTTTAGTAAGAGAAGGGGTGTTGGGGGTAGTGAGCAGCGGGAGTAGGAGTAGGAGTCGTAGTAGTAGCAGCAGTGGTGGTGGCAGTTAGTGGTCGTCGTCGTCGCAGTTGCATTGGGTAGTCATTGTCGTACTAATTAATTAATCAAGTCTGATCCGAAACACAAGTGCGGTTTTGCGTCGTGTTCTCTCAATTCGTCAGGCAAAAGTGCGAGCGACCCTCGTGGAAACTGGCGTGACACCCTCGGGCAGCTGCCGGACACATGATCGGTTTGGGGTTTCAGGCGTCAGAGGTTTGGGGCTTTGTGCAGGGGGGGAAGGGGGGGTTGCTGGGGGTCGCATCTGTTGTGGTTTCGTGTTGAATTGAAGCACCAACTGGTCCATGCTGAGGTAGTGACGGCTTTGGATTTCAGTTTTGGTCTAGGGATTACATCGCCTGACATGTTGCATCATTCTAGACACAAGCTGCGTCTGTTCATCTGAACATGCGGAGCTCATCAAATCAAAAGCCATGCTGAGAGGTTCCTCGTGCCACGCACAGCAAGCTTTGGCTTGTTGTCTTTTCGTCGCCACAAAAGCTATTCTTCGAAAGCATCTACAGTGTTGGCTTGTTGGCCACTGCCTTTGATGCATCAGCCCTGACCTATGCTCAGGTCCTGCCGGAGAAGCCTTGCTGGCTTATTGCCAAAGCGAGACATCAAAGGGGCCAAGGGCTTGAGGGAATCGGGTCAACTCATCTCTTCCCGGCCAGGCAAATGCAAGCAACGGCATCCACTGCCTTCGTCGAGTCCCAGGATCATGGGTTGCGAAGGTTCTGCAAATTGACATCTGCAGCTGAATCGAGCGATGCTAAGGTCAGGCTTCTCAGATCTGCACCCAGCATCGCTGCACCCCTCGAGCCTCGAGCAGGATCTGACCATCGCGCCCTTGAATTCGGGGCCTCTCGCCTCGAGTTCCGCTGGAGCCTGGAGCTCAAGCCGAGATGGTGGTGATGATGCCGATGATGATGGTCGTAATGGTGAAGACGGGCGTCCATCTGGTGAGAATGATTGTGGTGGTGATGGTAGTGACCTATGATGTTAGTTGGATGGCTGTGATGGCTATGTCTGTGACTAGTACGAAGCTGGTGAGTCCTTTGTGTGTGACTGCTGGTACCATCGGTGCCATGATTTGCAGTGAGCAGTCCTTCCCATGACATGGATGAAGACACTAGGCACAGCCATGGTCGCCGAATCGCGCCAGCTTCGTGCCGGCCCAGAAGCCCAGCTTCGCCGCAGAACAGCGGAGAGTTGAGAGCGAGTTTGTTAGCATCAAGAATCAAGACCTCCCCAGACTCCAGGCAGACGGAGAGGCCGGGACTCCTCGGGCTTTGGTGAAGACGCAGAGCACGTCGGGGAGCCAAAGCCAGATCAGGCAGAGAAGTAGGAAGGTCGTTTCAAATTCGGATTCCGCGTGCCCAAATGGACCGCAAGCTACCTGAACTGGAGGTACTCGTAAATGGTGAAGTTAGAGGGGTTCGTTGGGGGGGAGAAGCTCTCGGATTAAGAATCCTGCGACTCACGAACTCAAAGATACCAAGTGCAACTAGCCCTGCCCTGTCTTGCCCTACCACTATGAAGGATAGCTGCAACAACAAAGATTAAGATCCAAGGAGCGCAATATCAGCAGAGCCCAGCACCTCCCCGACCGTCTGGGGTTTGGGAGTTGGGACTCATAGGATCAAAGCGTCAAAGTCTACCCTCGAAGTTGCCCGAACGCTCTGGCATCGCTGCCAATGCAATGCTCAAGAACGCGAGACCTGCTCTTGAGCACAAGTGCCATGTCCATCTAGCCTATACGCAAACTGAGCAGAGCGGCATATGTAGAAATGCGGGGCAGAAGTACATACGTGCGTACGCACAGGTAAGCACGCACGTACGCATGCATGCATAATGTCTTGCATGTGTCCTTCTTGTAATAGCCACATTGTCATTGCACATAGGAAGCCTACACAGCCGTGAAAGCCCGCCCTTGGCTCCTCATCGCATGGTGGCACTGGAGCTGCGCGTCTCCGGGCTCACTGGTCCCCTGTGTGACCTCACGCTATGTGCACCCTGCACTGTGCAGGACTGGGCGATCATGCAGACTGTAGGAATATCAACAACGATCGCAGCAGCCATCATCAGCGATCCTACATCGATCATGGTGCTTATCAGCAATGCCAAGAGTCACAGTCATGACCGTCTGCTACTTGTATCAACTTTGTGCGTATGCCCCTGTCACATGAAGTTTTGCGTGGTGCTACTGTCGTAATATAGTGAGCTTGAGTCGGCTTTAGTATTGGCATTCTTGTTCTTATTGTCGTCACGACCTTGCCGTGATTTAACCGGCTGGAGGATGTGAAGGATGCCTTGCAGGAAAAGTTGGGCGTCCCAGTGCAGGAGCAGCGGCTTCTGTTGGGCAGCGAGGCGCGGCTGAGTTTCGGGCTTTCTGGTCCTTACTTGTTCAGTGTCATCCCTCCCTGCTGGTTTCCACATTATTCCTCAAATCGCAATTGGAGTCGCTCAACTGGGGACTGTTGTGAATCTGTGGCCTTGTTCTGTAAGAGAAGTATAAGGACCGAAGTCGAAAAGAGCGGAGTCCAGCCACCGACAGCGGACTGTTTCAACTTAAAGCGTGGGCAGCTTTAGCGTGGTAGTCCTAATTTACGGGGCTTAGGTGCTGGGAGCATCCACGGAAAGTAGTCGACATGCTTTTCAAGCCTGCCAGACCATGTCAAGGGCACTTTGGCAAGGTTGTCTCGGCTTGTTGTGATAGTTGGAAGATGAGCTGACAGCCCTCGAGCACAAACACGTCTTTAACCCCAGAGCTTCTGAAAGCTTCTGACACCGTGCTAACTCGCCATCAGGTACAGTTCAATGTTAGCGGCTCCTAGCTACATATTCTTGGCTGGTGTGCCGCTGAGCTGCCCATGCAGGAGCCCGATGCAAGCTTCCTTCTCTCTGCCGGTGGCCTGGATGTTTCGTTGCTTCGCTGCCCGAAGCTGTCTTCCGAGAGCTGGGGGCAGTGGGCCGAAACTCTCCAAGAGGACACCGGAGCTCAAGATATCTAAACATATGTAAGCCATGTCGTGGCCCTGTGTTCAGTGCTCTGTCAGTGCATTTCCCAGACGGTTCTGACGTGCAGCGAAAGGACGGAATGGAGCTTGATTTTGCTCCAGAGGAGGTCCAGGCAGATCGTGAGCTGGTCACCCTGGCCGTGCCGATCTCGGTCCGCACCGTTGCCTGTAGCACTCACCTGCAGCCCAGGTGCAGAGATCTCTGAACTTCAAACAAGGTTCTTAATTAATGAATGTGCCCGTCTTTCGCTTGGTGGGTAGTCCGGACTTCCTATGTACTGCGACCACTTCACTCCTGATCGTGGGGGAGTCTTCCGAAGCCTTGCCTCAGACAGTGGAGACAAGCTTCGCTGGTTGAGGTCCAGCGTTGTGGCCATGCTCTGGCGCTGGCTGCAGAGGAGATTCGTGGCGACCGCGATGTAGCCATGGCTGCAGCCGCCTGGCAGCACTCGAGGCACTGGGACTAGGAATGCTGAAAGGCCTGCAGGAGGCTTCAGGTTGCTGCATTGCCCTACAACCGGAAATCCGACATCCAACACTCACGAGACAGCGACCCGTCCTCAGAAGCTATGTTTCACAAGGACTGCAGCCCAGGGAACTTGTGTGTGTGTTAGTGTGAGTTGCACAGGGCCGCTCCTCCTTCGAAAACGCATCACAAAATGTGGCTCTACTTCCTCCGGAGCTATCGATTGTAAAAGCTTCCAAAGGTTAACAGCTTAACATTTTAACACCCCGGCAAATTGTGAGCTTGTAACATGAGGTATCACAAGCTGGACTCGCTCTTTCCTTTGTATCCACAGCTTTGAAGGCTGACAAGGTGCTTTGACTGGCATTCCGATTTGGACGCTCCATGGGCTCCCAGCGCAGGATCTGGTGCTGCGTGCAGTTCGGCAGAACGGCTTGGCCTTGCGCCACGCATCAGCAGCCTTGCAGAAGAGACTTGCCGGAAACAGGTCCGGTTGTGACGTCCCGGGATGTCTCTCTGCATGTTGCCAGGGATCCTGATGTGGCCTTGGCGGCAGTGGAGCAGAATGGTGACGAGGCTTCAACAGACTCTGCGTCCCGCTTCGGGCGTCCTAGTTTATCCTAGTGCATGATAGTGATAGTGCATGTCTGTGCCACGAACTGGCTCGAGAGCCAGCTGATCGTCGTGTTATTGTCGTGGCGTGGCATTGGAATGTATCGGGTGGGTGAGATGAGGCTATGTTATCGCAGAACCCGGTTTCGATTCTGCCCTGCGCAATGATCCTCAAGTGGCTCATGCTGCTGTCTCCTATGATGGCTGCACACTCAAGCACGTGGGATCAGACTTGCGTGCCCAAGCTGTGCATTAGCAAGTGAGCTGCAGGTAGCCGTCATTCACTCATTCACGACATGTAGCTCCCAACACGTTCATGCCGCAGCAACGCTCTTCGAGGCAAAGATCGTCAGCTGGTCCTCACAGCCGTGAAGTCCAACGGCAATGCCATACAATGGGCAGATGCCCGTTTCAGGTCCGATCGGGAGGCTCTCGCAAACCATCTGCAGAGACACCTTGCACATGGCAAGCTGCATGAGCAGCGCTGCAGCGGCGCGAGGTGATGATGGCTGCAGTGCGATATCATGGAACCTTGTTGCGGTGCGCTTCGGAGGTGCCTCGCAGGTAGGTAAGATGCGTCAGCAGTTTCATCCAGGGTGGCATCGCAGGAGCTCCGCAATGATCGGCAAGTCGTCTACCAGGTCAAGCAGCACGGAACTCGTACGGTGTGGGTCCTAAGCTGGATCCACCCTGTCGCAGGCAATCCTGGGACATGGATACGCCTTGCCGAGATCCCAGCCAAGTGCGACCTGGTGTGGTAGCATATGGGCAGAATCCCAGGTCGTCCGCCTCCGAGTCGCTTCGATCAGACCCGGAGTGGCGCAGATCAATTGGGTGATCGGATGACGTGGCATGTACACAAGGTGAGGAGCCTGTTCCAAGCTGATCCGACTTTCCTGATCTGCTTAGGCTAATCTCGCTGGCCTCGCGCCCGCACTCCCACATACCGATCCGACTGGAAGCGGGGAAAATTGTGTACATTGAGGCATGGCTTGCATTGGCATGCAGTCGCAGCTGACCTCTGCAGTATGTCACCAGAAAGCAACGCTGTCCTGGCAGGATGGCGACGAACGCAGCTGAGACACATTCCATGCTTGTGCGGCGTGCGTGAAAGCTTTGAAAACCATCAGTGCTGTGTTGTGCATGGGACGAACCCTTCACCGACGTGTTTGCGTGTGTGTGTGTGGGTGTGTGTGTGTGTGTGTGTGTGCGTGTGTGTGTGTGTGTGGGTGTGTGTAGGTGTGTGTAGGTGTGTGTGTGTCTGAGCGACAGACTGTCGTCTCTCTGTTTCTCAGCCATGAGACTAGGTTGGTGTGGGAATTGCAGTAGCTCAGTAGCTCCTTGTGTTCGGAAAACACCACACTGGATGGCATTCGGGTGCTGAGTGTCAAGAACTTTCTCAAGGCTCAAGACAGCTCGAAATTGTAGCTAATTCCAAGCTTTCACTGACGTCATGGCTCCTGCAGCATGGCAGCACAAGCTAACAGATCTGAGCATGCTGCCCGGGTAGTTTTTTTCCGTGTGTAATTATGTGTATATGTTGTGTATATTGTGTATATCTATTTGTATACATATAGATACATACAGAAGCACAAGTGTAGAACAGATGCATGCATAGATACCCATTGCACACATGCGTGTCCACAGAACTGTGTGTGCGCGTGTCTCTGTGTTTGTTCTTGTTTGTGCATGCATTTTCCGATCTGCCTGTGTGTATGTACGTTCATACGTACTTGCATAGGTATGACTGAATGAATGTATGCATGTTTCTATGCATGTGTGTTTAGAAATTTTGTTGTGTGCTGGTGGTTTGCGCGTATGTGTGCCTGTGTGTTTGCCTGGTTGTTGTTGCTTGCATGTGTGTTTGTTTCGTTCTTTCTTTGTTTGCTTGTATGTGTGCGTTGTACAGGTACATGTGATGTTGTGCTATACCAGGTATATCTGTTTGTCCGTATCTCGCTTTCACTCCCTCACTTGCTCCGTCCCTCTCTCTCTCTCTCCCCGTCGGTTGAGGCTGCATGGTTAACGGACCAGGTCCTAGCAACTTTCCGGCTGAGGCAGCTAATGTCCATTCCGCGGATTTCTACGAAGTCCTTGGTGTGCCCCGAGACGCCAGCGACGCGGACATCACAAAGGCCAGAAGGGATGAACAGCTCAGGTGCTCTCAACGTGTGGACTCTAGCCCCTGAAGAGGCATATCGGAAGCTGGCTCTAAAGCACCACCCGGACAGGAATACTGACAGGACTCGGTTGCTCAACTCCCACATTCCCGCTTCCTCAACGCCATGTCACAAGCTTTGCAGGATGGAGAAAGCCAAGGAGGAGTTCCAACGAATTGGCGAAGCCTACGAGGTCCTGCACGACCCTGAGAAAAGGAAGATGTATGACCAGTACGGAAAGGACGAAGTGTTTCTCTAATCCCAGTCCCTGGCCTTGAACCCACTAAGACTCCTTTCAGGCATGCAGCGTAGTCTCCCGACAGGAGGATGCCGAGAACGCTGGAGCTCCAGGTTTCCACGCTTCTCCAGGATTTGGAACTGGCATGACCCAGGAGCAAGCACAGCAGATCTTTGAGAGCATCTTTGGTGGACGGGGAATGCCAGGGATGCCACAGGGTTCCTACATGTTTGCTGGGAGTGGCATGGATGGCATGGGAATGCCTGGTATGAGCATGCCAGACATGGGCGGCGGCATCGACATGTCGGAGATTTTCATGTCCATGGGTATGCCAGGAGGTGCCACAAGCTCACGCTCAAGGCGTCGCCCTCGTGAACAATGCACCATCCCTGCTGGACATCAGGTCACTATCTACGGATTGTCAAGCTCTGCCTCACACAACGGAAAGACTGGCCAAATCCGAGGATTTGAGCCAACTCGCAGCCGATATGAGGTCCAACTGGATGATGGCACCAACATATCGGTCCGCCCCGAGAACTTGACACAGCTTTGCACAGTGACTGTTCATGGACTGACCAGCAAACCGGAGCTCAACGGTCGATCCGGGCGAATCGTGGGCATGGACAACACGAGTGGACGTTACGTGGTTATGGTGCAGGCCGCAGCTGCAACGGTGATACGTCTCCAGCCGGCTAACTGCGTCCTTAATGCCGGAATGTGTGTGCGCCTGCGCGGCCTGAACCGAGAGGATCTCAATGGCCAAAGAGCTCAGGTCCTGGATGTCGACCGCTCGGCCGGTCGATATGAAGTCCAGCTGCCTGAAGGCAAACAGATCAGAGTAAAGTTTGAGAATGTGGTGTGCTAAGGATACTGAGCTAGCCCAAATGTGAAAGAGCAATTTTTTGCATGAAAGTTGTACAGTCTCTGTGGAGCTTCGCAGTCGTTTCAGACCTAAGTCTGACCCGTCGCATTTTCCGGAAAATGCATTTATTTCAGAATGTTCTAGCTCTCCTACAAGGGACCATCCGAGTTTGCAACGCTAGCTTGCCAGAGTGATGCTTGCCCGCGCGGCAGGCTTGTACAGACTCTCGGCAGACGAAGACGCCCTTTAAAGCAGATGAAAATCTACATATACACATCCACCCAGTCTCATCAACCAACCAATGGTGTGCTGGTAAGGGCGCTAGCTGCACTGCAAACCATAGACCGACACCGCCTGCTGGTGGCAGGCGGGCAACCTCTGTTGAAAGACGAAAAAGATTAGCCAACAGCTCTGCCCAGCTTCTTGCAACATGTTCCAAGAAGCATACACCCATAACGCATCCCAGGCCGGTCTTTATGCCGCCGCTGGCTGCACTCACTGCTTCGCTACTTCTCCGCACCAAACGGCATGAGCAAGAGAGACAAAGAGACGAACCCAGTCCATCGGCTACGTCGAGGCGAGATCTCTGCGTTCTCACCGCACATGCAAAGCGGGTGCACCGCCAGTGCTCCGGAACAATGTGTGCGGGACTGTGGCGGCGGAAATGCAAGTCGCGATGTCCACCCAAGAACGCAACATGCACTCACGGCGCTGCGCTGGACTGGAAAGCACGATAAAGCACCCGACTTCAGTTAAAAGCGGAAGCGCTGCGGGCTGCAAGCCGCGTGTGCCTCGCGCCCTGGATATGTGCCTAGGCGCCCCGTACCTCTAGACTCTAGACTAAATGCATATATCCTTTACATAGGCAGACCAAAACTGAGTGTTCGATCTTTGCCGAGGTCTGCCGGCTCGGTCTCGTGAGGCCCTCAGGCTCCAGGTTGGCCGACGGTCGGCTGCGCCACCGGTCGTTGCCAAAGCCCAAGATGCTGAATGCCGCGTCCATCTGCGTCTCGAGGTCCGCGGCTCCGGCGACATTGGCACCTCTGAGGAGGCTTGCCAAGAAGAAATCCTGGAACGTTGTCATTCAGTTAAACTTCCCGAATCTTCCACTGCACGCTTCCCTTGCTTCTGACATGAACCTGGTGCGCCTTTGTTCTCCAGGGCGAATTGTCTGAATCGCAGGAAGGTAAGAATCACGAGCCCAATCTCTGAAGTGGCAGTGTCTCTTCTCTTGGTTTCATCTGAACTGGTCTCTTCCGCACACGTGCATGTACTGGACCTGCAATTGATACGGCAGGTGTGCACTTGTGATACTGGTGCGGCAATGTGAATCGAAATGGAAGCCTTATCATTGACTTTCGCGAGTCCACGGCGTTGAGAACCACAGAGCTTCTACAGTTGCATGTTGGCTTCATCAGTCTGGGCAGGCTGAGACGACCAGCCAATTGGCGACTGGAGCTTAGAGCGCTTTGTGGAATGCTCTGCATGTGGCTTCACTGTGCATCATGCGGCCTCACACATTCTGGGAAGGGAACGGGAATTGTGGCGCATGACATAGCAGGGGTGCGACATGACCTGGTTGCCAGGCGTCGTTCGCGGTTGCGAAAACTCTGTTCCGGGCGTTGGCGAGTTGGCGGGGGATTTTGGTGTTTCCAGAGCTGCTGTGCAAAGTTGACCGCTCTGCGTCGCTTGAGGTCTCAGCTGGCACTGAGGATGCTGTCCTCCTCGCATGGGAAGCTGATCGAAATTAGGGGACTACACCTTAAAGTCAATACTGCAATCTACTGTTTGTGGGGTTGTTTTTGATAGAGACCAGAGAACAGCCCTGTCCTCGCGCCCGAGTCACAGAGTCATACCCACGGTTACAAGACCACACACTAACCAAGACCGATGTGGCTTCAAGTAAGTAAGCACGGGTGTCCGAAGTCCCACAGTACACACCTAAGAATCATTCCAGGAACACGCCTAAAGCTCCCAAGACCACTCCAATCGGGACTGTGTCGGAAAGACGATGCACATCTCAAAACCTCCTGAATACCGCCGGCACTGTGGCGGGAGCGCGAGATCGGAAGTAGTGGGCTGTACAGTTATACAGCGAATCTGACCGACACTGCCGAGCCGAATTGATCAAACTCGCGGGACCGCTGCCGGTGGCACCTCGCAGTGGCAGCAACCAAGTCCCTCTACATGTAACGTAGGACCCCACCCTCACAAAATTACCTCACTGCTTGGGGACAGACAGGGTGTCCCAGGAATCAAACGCTACAACCCTCGGGTCCCAAACGCTAACCGGCCCATGCTCTCTTTAGATAGTTGCACCCTGCATGCAGATATTCACGTTTAGGCAAGGAGAGTTGATAGCCACAGGTGTTTTTCCCTGGAGCCAAGCTTCGCAGCAAAGGTCTCGAAGAGATCATCTGCCATTAGCGAGTACACAAATAACCATGTGCATGAGTAAAGCCATACTTCTCACAATATTCTCAATGATGCAGCGATGAAAACCACAGTTATTGGTCAAAAGCTGCACAGGCTATAGCAGTGCTACACCACCAAATCTTGATGATCTTCGTCGTTTCACATATTTAAATTGCAAGAAGCTCTCCAGCAGAATTCTCAACTGAATTGCTGCAACCAGTGGAGGGCCGTTAACGCACGGGCCGTCGTTGCCGCTAAAAGAATGCGAGGGAAAGTGCGATCAACTTGGCAGAGTCAAGCAGAGACCATCATGGGTGAAAGCACGACGTCTTCAGGGCGGCCTGCTTTCAGCACCTTCATGTCCGCCCTGCCCTCGACTTCAGAAACCTGTCTTCCGAGCGACGCCCACAGGCAACAACGCTTGGTCATCGGGGAATGGCGCCGTCATTGAAGTCTGAAGTGGTCCTTCCGATCCGATGAATGCTGCCTTTTTGAACTCTCTGAAACTTGAGCTCTTCCTGGCAGTGTCCATTCATTTTGCAGCCCATTTTGCATGCCGCAGCTTTACATCTCAAGCCCCGAGCTCGTACCGAAGAACATGGAAACCTCAACATGGACTCTGCCTTCGCTGATGAGTTTGATGTCACTGTCGCCTTGTGCAGGCCCGTCTATTTATCTGTCATTTGCACACATGAAGCGTCTCTGACTTACCGGCAAGTATCTGGGACATGCCAGAAGAACGCTTGTCTTCCTTGCTGTCGCAGCTGATTGCAGATGACAGGTGAAGCTCCGTCCGTTACTTCTGGGGACAGCAGCGGCCTCAGATCCAAGAAGTCGAACGGGGGAGCGTTGCCCTTAATTCTCTGAACGTGTTTGGAGAAGTCGAACAGCGCCCACCTGTGTTCCGTTGTTATACGGTTGCAGGATGTGCTTGTAATGTGTTTTGCATGCGGTCAGCATGGGTGGAGCTGTAACCGAGTCTGGACTTGGATTCGGGATGATTGACAGATATTGACAGGGCAACAACTCTTTGACAGCATATTGAAGTTCGGGTTGGGAACAGTGGAGATCTGCAAAGAGCTTGTCTGTGCAATTCTGTGAACAAGTTCTTGAGGGTCCTGGCATTATTACAGCCGGAACGAGTTCGGACTGCGGTTTGGATCGCCAGCTTTCTGCAACTTCAGATGGCCTGCCCCAGCCCGAAGAGCAGGCCTCGAACACATTCCCGTCAAGCTGGACCTCATTCAGAAAGCTCTTGCAAAAGACACTGCGAAGGATTTGACGCACAAGCTGAACATGTTTGCACGACGCCAACATCAGTAGAAACAAAGCATGACTTGAAATGAGTAGAAGTGCAGCCTGACAAGGTCTTAATGACAGTTTGCTACTATTCTCATTGTTGAGACGAACATTTTGTCTGGGCAAAGCGCCAAGGTCTGCTGGCCCTGTATTGTATGTTATCCATCTTGCAGTCTGAACCGTGCCATGTTTGCGCTGGGAGTGTTTGCCTTTTTGGGCGATGGTGAGCTCTTCATCTTTTAGGCACTGCGGAGATGGTGGTCCGCGCTGCCACAGCCCTGCCGGAAGCCGCCTGCCTGGCAGCTCGAGCTGATGTGCACACGCGATGTTCTGTGTTGCTCGCACTTTCGATGTTGCCGAGGCTCCGATGTCGCTGAGCAAGATTGTGCAGGCAGAAATTGAGGATGAAACGAGCCGCAGCTGCATGTCGGCTGTTGACTAAACAGGGAGTGGCGTCGAACTCTCGGGTGTCTCCTTCGCAGCTCTCATACCAGCACGAGTTCCAACACGCAGCATGTTCGAGACAAGTTGCAAAGTCTTGCGAAACAGGAAAGAAGGGCGAAGTCTTCATTACTGGTTCATTCCGACAGATTGTGTCATGCAGCATGCAGCTCGCTTAGTTCCACCTGTAAGGTTGACAGCTCGAACTGAACTGCGGTCAACCTCCTTTGGGGTCTCAGCAGTCCTCAGCCCGACCACTTGAAAGCACAAGCCTCTACGAACGACGGGCCATTGCGTAACACTGAGCGGAAATGCTAGAGGCTGCTTCTGATACCTCAGCACTGCGAGCAGCGAAGATACAAGTAGCAGCTGAGGGCCAGGAATTTCCGTAATGCTGCCGATATCATGTGCAGTATTGAGAGACTTTGAGAAAAACCGCTGGACTTATGGTGTAGACCTTGGCATCCTTCTACCTGATGGTTTGACCACGCGCTGAAGTCTGAGGATCCGCCTGGCTGTCCTCATGGTGTCAGGTCGGGCCTTGGTTCTGCAGGCCTTGGGTGGTGTCTGGAGACGGTGTGGGATCCTCGAAAACGAGGTGAACCCTTTCGCGACAAGGGTTTGCATCAGGATGTAGCCATTAGCATCACATCTGTTTTTGGTGTTCTGTTACGCTCGTTGATGTTGCAGCGCTTCTCCTGGCTACTCGTCCTATCCGCAGGCGCGGACTTTGCAGACCGTCGCGGAGCTGAAGAGCGACATTGAAAGTAAAGAACGCATACCGGTCCAGGAGCAGTCGCTCCTCTTTCAAGATGAGACCCGCGCTTAGCACGCACTGCAGTCTGCAAGCCACCACAGTTACAAAGCATTCTCTTGGGTTATGCCATATGTAGATCCTACAAATGGGATCGTACGGGTTAGAGTGGCAGCGCTTTATCATTGCGGCTGGGTGTCGCATCGACCGAAGCTCATGCACATGCACCGAGGATCCTCCAGAACTCTCGAAAGCTTCATGAATATGGACTCCGACACGATGCTTGCTCTGGAAGATCTTTCGTTGACACCAGTCGATGTTGAGGTCTCAGCTCAGACTAAATCGCAAACTGAGGATTCATGCATCAGCTTAGTTCGAGTCCAGCCGATGGAGCTGAAGATCATGACGGCACGAGTCAAGTGGAACATCCGAGTACAGCCACAGGCACATGGGGCATTGAAACGACTCCTCATTCGTGTGCTCCGCATGATGTCGATGATGTCATAAGAGACCATTTCATCGAAAACGACTTCTCAGTTCCACTGTTTTTGTTGCTATTGCTTTGCCACGGCTCTCGCAAGAACAACAACAACCACGACGACTACGACGACGACGACTACTACTACTACCACTACCACTACCGACTACCACTACGACGACGACGACGACGACGACGACGACTACTACTACTACTACTACTACTACTACTACTACTAAGGATACCACTACCACTAACCACTACTAAGACTACCACTACCACTAACCACTACTAAGACTACCACTACCACAACCAGAAACCACCACCATCACCACCACCACTACTACTAACAACAACTACTACTACTACCACTACTACCACTACTACCACTACTACTACTACTACTACTACTACTACTACTACTACTACTACTACTACTACTACTACTACCACCTTACCTTTGGTCTGGAAACTGTATACCTTTTTGTAAGTAGTACATTTCTGTAGTATATGGCTTACAGGGACATATGTCCTTTGTTTGCATGGCACCCGATATGTGGCTAGACGTTAAACCCCAAACCACGGAAAATATCCTGAGCTTTGGTCCCAAAACCTGAACCCCGAAACCGTTGAGTACTAGGAACTTGGCCCTTGAAACCTAAATCTGGGACCTTAAAGTCAACCATACCTTAAGACCCTGAGTCCTAAGCCTCTGAACCCTAACCAACCCTAAAACCCGGGACCACTCCTAAACCCTGATCTCTTATTAGCTTTCAGCTCTGAACCCTAAGCCCCAACACCCTTTAATTACCCCTAAAGTCTCGTGATGACCACATGGACTTTATCTTCGACGATGCCAGCGACGTGGCTCCGGCGCCATTCAGTGAAAAAGTTTATGGGGGTAATAATTATAAGCATATTCATAGGGTTGTTCAGTGACTTCGGCATTCAGAATGTGTTCACGGGGACCGATGGTCCCCAAGGAATGGGTCCGATGGACCCAAGGGTGGGGTCGGGATGGACCCCGGGGTGGGGGACCGATGGTCCCAAGATTCCTGGTTTGAGCGTTTGGTGGGGGTGGCTTGGGTGGGCTTTTTATAAGCTAGTTGACAACCCTACACCCCGTGTACACTATACAAGCCCTACGCCCGAAAACCCGCAAATCCTTAAACCTTGAAGCCTAAACACTGAACGTCCGAAACCGTAAGACCCTAAGTGTCCGAAGCGCTCATGATCCCTAGAAGTTCTACGCCCTAAACCGCCCGAAACCCTAAGACGTTATAAGCCCTGCACACTACGACCCTGACAGCCCTACGCCCTAATCCCTGGGCCCTCGAAGCCCGAATTCTCGAAGCTTCCAGATCCAGTGCTTTAAGAGCAGCTGCCGTGGCTGATTCGGGGGTTGATTTTCGGAAGGGCCTTTCGAGTGGGTTTCGCCAGGAGCCCAGCAGCCTACACCTGGCCTTCTTGATTCGGAGACATTGGCATGTTGAGCAGCCGTTGTGTGCATGCTTCGGCACTGGCTCAATCTACATGCCATGTTCATGCCACGAATTTAGAGCTCTGCCAGGATGCAGAGGGCAACAGCTCAACACATTACTTCAGGGCAGCAGCTCATCAAAGTAATTCAAGGCAACAGCTCACAACGTCAATTCAGGGCAGCAGCTCACTACATCAGGGCACTGTTTCATTTTAGGGCCTTTAGGGCTGATCCCTGCAGCTATGCCGGGTGAGACCAGGAAGTCCAAGCTGCTTGGGCTGGCGAAATTCGCCGCTCGTAAAACCCAGGACGGGCTCGGATTCGTAGATGCATCATACTGGTTTCTTCTCCGTGCTTGGATCCTGACAGGAGCAGCTGGCAGGCCTGCAGGCCAGATGAGCGAGATGATGACCATGCAGCAGCAGCAGCAGCAGCAGCAGGCCAAAGCTCCTGGTCGGCATTGGCTTTGGATTTTTGCTTGATTGGCATGGAAGCTTCGTCGTTGGCTTGAGGCGCCAGCGCCAGCAGTGCCAGCGGCAGCAGCACCAGCACCAGTGCCACCGAAGGCTTTTTGTCTCAAAACAGTGAGTGCCTGCAGACTGTGTTGATGCAGTGGAAGCTCTGGCTGCTCAGGCTCAGCTACCTCAGCCGCGAGCTCCGGAGCCGGCATCATCTTCGTGGGAAGCCGCCTGCCCTGCACTTAGTTACTTGAGGGGCTTCTCGTGTCTTGGATTTCGCAACTTGCCAAACAGAAGAGCGGCTAGTGGCGGTGCTGCTGCACAGGCTGTGCTCTCTGCAACTACAGGGACGGCATACAGGCAGCTTCGCCAGGAGCCTTGCCTTGCTGGATGGCATAAACTCTTTGTTTATGGTCACTTTTCATTTCTGCTTTGGGATGCAGTCAATTGTCTGATGTAGTATCAGTTCACTGATCGAGGAAGTGCATCGGGTCAACCAGCTGATCGATCGATGCAAATCTTCTGGCGAACTCAGGGAGATTCTCTATGCGCTGGTGTACATGCACATAGATGACCTTCGCTCGGTGGCCACCACCGAGCGGTTCGGTCAGCAGCTGGTGGCTTGGCTGTCGAAAGCAGCTTCTGCGAGGAGCCACCTCTAGGTTTGCCTCTGCCGACTTAAGTCTCCAGCAGAATCGTGGCGCTGCTTCACGAGATCATGCCCAGTGACCCGCACTTTGAGGCCGCTTTGCTTGCCCGGAAAGTCTTGCTCCAGTGGCTTCCTGGGTCGTTCGCGGAGAACCCTTCTCTGCACGTCCGGCAACTTAAGTTTGCATCAATTTGTTGTTTGGCTTTTGCTTTTGGCTTGATCGGGGGTATGCCAGCCTTCGAAGCTTGCTGGGCGCCGGTCCCGACATGGACGGTGCGGAAGGGGCGGTGGTGCTCCGATGACGGTGCTGTCAAGGCCTGCGCGGAGAAGGGCGGTGCTTCGAAGGGCGGTCCTCCTAAGGCCGGTGTGGAGAAGGCGGCGAGAAGGGCCGGGCGCGGAGAAGGGCGGCAGATGAAGGAGACGGAGGGAGATCGCGAAGCCGCACGCTGGATCCGAAGAGGGCCAATCGGTGAAGAGTGGTTGATTGATGACAAAAGTTGAGCTGTGCCAGAAAAGTTGCCCGAGAGAGTTTTTTAAGATCGAGTCGCCATTGACATGTCTTGCCCAGGCCGTGTCAGCTGCCGAACTTGCCATGGTGCCGAGTGCCGACTCTCGTGTTTGTTGGCTTCAGATATGTTTGTGCCCCTTCTTATTCAGGTCGGCCTTGGATACCGTGTCGAGGCCTCGCAATTGCGCATCGTCGCATAGAAAGTCTTCAGTTGGCGGGTGGCCCGCTTCCGCTCAGGCCCTCTCAGGCTGCTCCAAGTGCTTGAACCTCACCTTAGCCCTTCAACTCAGGTTTTGTTCAGGGCGGGACCGCTGGTCCTGAGGGAATTGGTCCGATGGACCACAGGTTTTGGGCGGGGACCGATGGTCCCAAGGCTTGTAGCATCGTGGTTTTGGTTTGGTGGTTTGGGATTTGGGGCGGCTGGTCATGTCCTTCGAGGGTGATCACGCCCTCATGCTTTCTCAGGTGGGACGGTCCTCAGCGCATCCGGTTTCGATCAGGCGAGCCTGGAGTGGTTGGTCGGTGATTCATGTTGATCCGCGCTTACGTTGCCATGCTGAGCTTTGCGCAGGTTTCATTCGAGATCCTCAAAAAGCAATGCATGATTGAGATGCAGCCTCCTAGCTGCGATTGTGTGATTGTACTGGCCACTGATGAATGAACCTCCAAGCCTGAAGCCTTAACCTTATATCTGAAGCACATCCCTTCCGCTTCATGCCGACATTGGTGCTCCGGTCCAAAAGAACAGCTTGAGAGTGAACTTCGAATGTTTGATACAAGTGTCTTCACCATTGCTTGCCACACTGTTGTCACTTCAAGCTCGGGGCCTTAGCTCTTCTTGTCGTGGGAGGATCTCTCTTCTCTAGCAGCTGCAGATTTTGGCATCTCGTCGTGGAGGGAAACTATTCTATGTGGGGATTCAAACAAACACGATTGTTCGGGGACACTTGGGCCAGACATGTCGGTGGCCCGACCGCCCGACCACGAAGCCCCAACGGCAGCTCGGGTGCACGAATATCACACATGAAGACTTCCGATGTCACAATGGTTCGTGATGTTTCATCGTTATACCCCGCGGGTGCCCATTGCCGGAGACGCATAGAGAAGCGGCAGCGCTCTGTCCCTGGACACATGTACCGTGTTCACAACATGCTGCATGTGCAATCAACTTTGCTCTCAGGCCAAACTGGCGGTGAAAAAGTGCAACAGATGCAAGTTCAACAAGAACGGTGCCTCTTCGTGCCGAGCTCTTACGTGGACGAGGCTGCCTCGTCGAGGCAGCTCTTCCATCGTTCCCCGGTTGCTTCTATAGTGCTGGCAACGCACACGTGTAGGCCCGACGGTGTGCGTTGTTTGCAACAGGGCTGCTTCCTCTCCTGACACCGCTTCATCTGCATCCAGAGGGACGAAAGGCAAGGCAGACAGCAAGACGTATGTCGCGGCCATGGTTTGTTTGCTTTGGCACCTGCCCCGGCAGAGGGCGCCCAAGGCCTGGATCGTCAGATAAACCGGATTCAGCTGCACGCCTGCCCTGACAGGACCCCTGCTGTGGAATTTCCCAGACGGAGTCAAGCAGGACAAGCCGTCTATCGCGCGAGATGCTTCCGAAAAAGTTGTGTGAAGGTCGACCCGCGCTTGCCCTGGACCTGGGTGCCCACGTCCATTTGTGGCTTTCTGGCTGTCAGCTACCCGTGTGACATCATCGAGAACGTTCAGACGTATGGCTTTCCGCTGGATCAGGGTACGGCATTGCGACGCCGGGTCGCTGATGATGAAGCTCGGTGGCAGTTGATACTGTTATGAGGCTCTCTGCCGTTGCTTCTCTGGGCCTCTGGGCAGGGACCTCGTGAGCAAGTACTGTAAGAATTGCAGGAGCAATTAGCAAGCGGCATCCTGATCCGCCGCTTTTAAGGCAAGACATGGCCAATTCTGACTGACTGTCGGAGCTTGTTCCGTTGCTGAAGTGTGGCTGGCCTGCTTACTCAGCATGCTTCTCACGTGGGCAGCTCGGAACATTCGCATCTTTGAACATGTGCAACTGCGTCGTTTGTCGGAGTGTCGGGCTCCAACTCTTAGACGGCTGCAGCCATCTCCAGCCTGACTTGGGCGGCTTGAAGGCAAGGCTGCTTCGTGAGGATGTTGCAGGCCTTGCTTCCGACAGCGGGCGGCAGACAACCACATCACAATTCGACATTGATTTTGGGAGCCACGCAGACCTTCCATGATCGCATGTCCGACAGCGGGCTGTTAAACCCTAAGACAATCACAACTCGACGTGACACTAAAACCCTCCACTGCCCTCCATCATTTGGAAATGTAGTTGTCTAGCCTCCTGGCGAACGACGACCAGATGGTTGGACAGCATTCGGGAGCCCAGTCCAATTCCGCAAGTGACATCAAGAGTTTTTTTGGTTCCAAAAAGTTATCGGGCAACGTCAATTCGACATGGGAAGGGCAACCTCAATTCGACATGGAACCGGAAAATCTGCCTTGGCCTGGAATGAACGATACTTGAAGAATGAATATTCTGAACATAGCATTCCCGACTGGTGTCACCGTTTGTTTGTGACGAGAGAGTTGACTTCATCAACTCAGGGCAGTTACGTGATGCCATCTATGCTTTAGGTCCTAGAACTTTACGGGTTGCAATCACTTACAGCAGATGATGGTTGAAGAAAAGATGTTCTGAGCATAGCATTCCCTGCAGGTGTCACCATCGAAGGGGAAGATTTGTTCGTTTGTGAAAAGAGTTGACTTCATCAAATACAAGGCCGTTATGTGATGCCACCTATGCTTCAGGGCCTCACAACTTTAAGGGTTGCAGTCACTTACAACAGTTCTGAAGACATGCTAGCCTGCAAGAAGATTGACCGTCGCTGTGTAAGCAAGTCGTGGCAACTTAATTACTGACCAGGTGGCATGTTGGACAGGACAGTGATTTCCCCTTATGCTTCCATAGAGGTACCTATTCATAAATACTTTGGGGAGTCTTGAAATTACAACCTAGTCGGGTTTGTTGCATTTGGGGTCCGATGGACCCCAGATGGACCCGCGGGATCCGATTCTGGATTTCGTTCACACGAGTGCAGGTGTGCCGTCGTGAACAAGGGCGCCGACAAGCTACTGTGACTAGGCCGCGTGCACTCCGCCGTACTACAAGGTACTCCATTCGTGTGGGAGTTTTGACAGTGAGGCTGGTGTTGCTTCGGGGCTCCGCTTGTCTGCAGCCGCTTGCAGCAACTTTGGTGGTCGAGAGAGATTGTCCCTTGTGTGTGCCATGCTGGGCATGCTCCAAGGCTCCAGCACATTCAATGTCGAGCTGTCCGTTCAAGTGCCCCCGGTGCAATGCTGCGAGTAGGCGGAAGCTGCCTGCTCTCTGCAATGGCTGTGCCTTGATTGTCAAACAGCACCAAAGACCAAAGCATTGTGGACGCTGATGGACGCTGCCTCCTGTCTCTTTTCCGGTCCACGGTGATGTGAGGAACACTCGTGGTCACAACCTCAAGACTCAAGACCGACAGGATGGCGCAGACGGGCAAGCATTGGGTGCAGGGCAGTTTCTCGAAGCGCCGGGTGGTAACGTGGTGGGACGAGGATACCGAGCTGCCGAGGCTGACGCCGAAGGGTGGCTTGCTGCTTCCAGATGAACAGATGGAGTGCAGGCTCTGTCTTCGGCATGCTGTGAAGCCCCGCCAGAGGCATTGGCTACCTCTGCTAGGGAGGCTGCTTCGCCGCATCTGAGCATTGTGTCCTTTCTTTTCTGCTTCTTCTTGCCTATCAGAAACTATTTTCGGCTGTGCCGTGGATTGGGTGCGCAAGCCGAAGTGCTTCGATCTGTTGACGAGCAGCCAGTTGCTCTGAATTCTTCAATTGCACTGGCAACTATCCGGTTTCATATTCATACGAAGCTCAGGCAGGCGGCCGGCGGCGGCAGCGGCGGCGGTGGCAGCGGCGGCAGCAGTGCCAGTGGCTGCGTGAAAACAAGATCAGAGCTGCGCAAGCATTCAGTCACTGTCGGCAGAAGCCACCAAACGCCCCAAAAGCACGGATTGTTTTCCTTTGAAAGACTTAGGAACCTAGCTACTACTACTATTACTACTACTACTACTACTACTACTACGACCACTACTACTACTCCTGCTGCTACTACTGCTACTACTACTTCTGCTACTATGACTACTACTACTACTACGACGACGACTACGACGACGACTACGATTACGACTACGACTACGACTACGACTACGTACTACTACTGCTACTATTACTGCGACGTCGACTTCTAGCGGCGGCGGTGGAAGATTCAAAAGTAGCTCAAGTTCAAGCCGGATCTGGGTCGGAAGACTGAAAAATCGCACACAAGCTGTGCGAGGGATTTAAGACAGTTGAGTTTAGCAATCATGTTTCCATTTGCAGAGGACACCGTGGAAGAACTCAAAGCATTCGTCAATGAGAAGATGTCGATCCCCTTCGAGCAAATGCTCTTCGTATGCAAAGGCTCGCCTTGCCGCGGGGACGATTTGGCCCGGCTCCGATGACTTGTGTGGTCTTACAATGCTTTTGGTGTTAGTTGACGTGGTGTGTGTCGCCTGCCGTGGTGTGCTTTCGCCCACAGTCACCTTGGTTTTCAGCATCATGTGTAGTTTGATATTTTTCTTGTTACTTCCTGTTTCCTTATCGCTACACCAGAGACAGAGAGGCAACTAGAGGGACGTTCAGCCGTTCAGCCACAGCTGTTGAGCTGGGAGCCTAGTGCCTCACGAATGCGACCTGAAACGAGGGAGACAGAGCAGGAATGGGGGAAATTGGTTGCAGGTCCCTGGTACCTGGTTACATTCCAGTGCCTGGCCTTCTTAGTGTAATTGTTCGCGCGAGTTTTTTCGGGCGAGGGGTCGGGGAGTCCTTCAGCCCTTTAGGCTGGGGTGAAGCAAAATTTGAAAGAGAGAGAGAGAGAGAGAGAAACTCAAAGGAGGGTCCTTGCTACAGCTACATCCCCGGCAACTTCAAGCACCGCAGTACAGGCATTGCATCGGAGGTTCAACAAATGCAAGGCAAAGAAGAGACCAGCAGAACGCATGTCCCGTTAACAAGGCAATACCCCAATCCCCCGATGCTAGTACCTTGGCAAAGGAAAGACTGCTCCGTGCTCCATGGTTCCATGCACGCCATTTAACATTCAAGTAAGCATCAGTCAAAGTAGGCAGAGCTGGACGTCAATTAAAAGACTTCGCGCTCGCAACGTTCAGAAAAGATCTGCGACTGCAAGCGGGTGCCCGGGTGCCAAGCCAAGTTTCCGTCGCCTTGTACTTTTAACTATTAACCTTCACCTTAATCACGGGGGATTCTGAGCAGAGCTGCTACGAGATAGAATGTTCTTTCGAGGAAATGGAGGAGGACAACTGCAAACAGATGTCTAACAATGTTCCTCGTTTTAGTCATGATTCCAACTTCACCTTTCACTCCCCTCTACAAGGCTCGTAAAACCACCGGCGTGCCAAGTGCCCAGGGCCTAACGCACCCGTTATGCCTGGTAGAAGAACGGAGAGAGTGAGAGAGTCCCGCCGCGTACGGGGTGGCCTCTCGAGTAACGTTTGGTCAGCGCAGCCCCACAACACTTGGGGGGCGCCTGGAGCGCGGTGAAGGCTGCTAAACAGCCCGGACATGTAAAGGCCCCGGCTATAGATCTTAGCTGTGGTCAATTCAACGCTAGGCAAGCCGTTGGACGATGGCCGCCCCTTACAAGAGATGGGCGTCGAGACTGGAGATCAGGCCACGACGGATGCACCGCATGCAAGCTGGCGTTGCAAAAATTGCTGCATCAAGCCAACACCAGGTGGCGATGATCTTGCGCCTGAAGGGCTGCGGCCAGTTCATCGTGGAAACTGATGGAGGCATCATGGTCGCAGTATGTCGCTTTGGGTGTCGCAGAATCGTGCTGACTTGTCGAATCGGTATACTGAGTCCGAACAAACACTGCCGTGGCGTGCGATACTGCGCCTTGCAGAAACAACTTGCTTCGTTGAACATGTTCAACATGTGGCGGAACAAGAAAAGAACTAGTCACTAGCAGGAGGTGTAGCGTCGTAAGTTGTTAGCTGAATGCTGTTCGCAAAGTACAAGAAGGTCTCGCCCGAGCACCCGAACCTTTCGGTGCCGGAGGGGGTGCGTAGCTCAAGTGATTCAGCACTGGAAAGGTCTTGGTGTCGCTGCAACTCTTCACGCATTTCACAGTTTTCGCGATTGCGCTGCAGAATTACGCATTCACAGACACGACGTTGCTATAGCAGCAGACATCCTCCTGTACTACCGTACTGCTTCGGTGATCTCGCTGTGCCACATGACCTCGTCACTTCACGTATGCAGCACAAACACCGAAACTCGGATTACCCGCTCAAGACGTGCCTGGGATTCCGCGCGGCAAGATCATTGAATTCACTTCGTAGCCATGAGGGGGTTTTCTGAAAGGAAGTTTGTTCGGTCTCCAGGCAGTCGAATCTCTTGTGCGGGTTGATGTGATAAACCACGAACACTGTGCATCGTCGAGCCCTAAATCCTGGGCGACGAGCCGATCAGTCCAAGTCGCACTTAATGCTTCCATCCGCCGCTTCATTGCATCGCATCCCCGGAATCTGCCGCTCTGATGCGAGAATGATGAGCAAAACCGGAGGTGTATTAGCTACAACACTGCAACTCAGAAGCTATAGATTTTGTCAAAGACATACAAAGGAGAGCGTGAACAAGCACCAGCTGAAACCACACGTGAGTCCCAAAGCGTTCGGACTAGAGAGGCTTGTCCACCAAGAGTTGGCCTAACCACACCCGCATTGAGAATACGTAGTTCAGGCATGCCGGAGACTGGCTGTCCAAGACACTCACCGTACAGTAATCTTCAGTACATCCAGTTACCCAATATCCTCTGGCAGGTACGTCTTTTCGTGTCGACGGTGCGTGCGCTGACAAGACGATAAGTGAAGTCAAGACCGCCATCCGTGACAGAACAGGCAGGCACCAGCCACAGAGTCGGGGGAGCTGCATACAGAGTCTGGGTAGGCATGTTTTTTTCCGGTGAAGCACGCGGTGCAGGTATGGCTCCAGCTGAGCAGCATTTGACTTTCAGGAAGCAGGTGCTGGAGGATGCACAGACGCTGGAATACTATGGCATCAAGCGTGTGACTTGCATGACAAAGATGGGTAGTGCATGGCTTTCAAGCGCGAAGCATTGTTGACAGAAGGCCTGCATGACTCATCGCACACGGGCTTACGATGCCGAGACATGTAATGTGGCAAAATGTAAGTTGTGTAGAAATCCCACTTGATCGAGGAATGCAAGATCCAGCTGGTTCGTCGACCGCAGGAGAGACTCGGAGAGACTGGAGTGAATTGTATGGAAAGTCACACGTCCGTCCCTTGTCCTCGCTCTGGGCAGGACGGCTGTCGAGAACGTTGCTGCTTCTGCTGTTGAAGAGCGTTCCCCCTTGCGAAGAGAGTCTATGTTCCACGGCCGCTCGCTGCATGATTTTGGAATTAACATTGCGACCTCATTATGCCGTGATATCGCACTAGTGAGGATTCGGGTTGATTGGTGGGAAGTAGTAAGTAGTATGCATGTTGCGTAAATTACGATGACACGCATAAGAAGAGCGGCGGCAGAGGTCACTCCAGCTTTGCGCAATTTAATTTGGGACGTGCCGAAGGCAAATCGTCAGATGGCCGTGCAGTACAGGCAATAGCCGACAGCTCATTCAACTCTGCCAAGGGAAGCTCCCTTCGCCCTTTCTGAACATCTCTGCTGTGGGCGGTTGATGCGGCCAAGAGTTGAAACAGGCCCACCAGAGATGGCCCCCCCCGCCCCGAACTCAAGAGGCATAGCCGCATAGCCAAAGCTCTGTACTGACGAGCTCATGCATGCTGCAACCGCTGCAATTGCACGTGCATTCATCTAGAATCCAAGCCGTTTTCCACGTTCGCGAAATGTAGAGGAAGCGTCGTTACAAGCTCAGTTGTGGTACGTCAGATGGATGGCTTCAAGTTTCCTTAGGGCTGGGACCGCTAGGAGTTTCAGCCCCTCTACGTCGGAGAGCAATGCGTCAGCGACGAAGTCGGCTGAGCGCTTGATGTAAGGTATCGATTCTGGTCAGCAACCAGTGAGAACAGCATTTACAACTCAAATCCAGAACACTGCTGTTTGGGACTGTTTGGGTTACTGACCACTCGAGTTTCTGATAAGAGCCCAGGGCCCACAGTAGTCAATCTAGCTTGGCAAAGCTGTACAAGCATGGTTTGCCTGCCCCATGTGTGTAGCCGCGAAGTGCATCCCTGTGATTCAAAAAGCGCCTGTGTGCCAGACAACTGTCATGGGTCCAGGGCGGTTCATCAGTTGATCGGGGGTTGGCGATCGAAAGGTCTGGTAAAAGACTGGCCGAGGTGCCAGCACTAAATAATGCTATCCATAACAGTCACAGGAGTAGCAACAGAAAAGATGGTGACCTGAGGGGTGTTCGCCACATGAATAACCACACCACTGCATGTTACTACTCAGCAGAAATGGCTGCGACAGGCGCAGTCAAAACCATATAGGAGCCTTATGTGAAGCAGAAACGGCGCACAGCTGCGCGGCAACGACAGGTGTATGCGAGGATTGGTTTTAACCAGCATGCAATTACGAGCATGACTCTGACCATTGGTAGCTCATCCGTATTCATGAATCATTGTATCATTCTTGTTATTGGATTGAGCATGTTAGGGCTAAGGGCTCAGTGTTGTAGGCGTATCCTTCAAATTTGGCCCACCCCCAACCGCTGGCATATGCTCGCATATCTTCTGAATGTTGCAGAAGCATGTAGCACCGTGCAGCTTCGCACAGGGTCTGCAAAGCCGTGCAAATAAAGGTTGCAGTCTACTGCATGTTGCTCCCTGCTCACTTTGTTCATCCGTCTATTTATCACGCAGCTGTGTAATCTCTGAGTGTTGTTTCAGCGCGATGCTCCAGCACTGCGTTCTGTTTGCATCCCGCTCCTTTTTTCGGCTTGGATAGTCTTAGGCTGGAGACCCAGGGAGATGGACGAGGTCACATGCAGGCCTTGAAGGGGCCACCATGTTTCGCAGAGTTCCAGCGATGGAGTGAACCGAAGAGCATCAAGGCTTCCAGCTGTCAGCAATGAAAGTATTAATCTCATGCAGCGACGATGCAGCAGCACATTCACAACCTCCACAGAGGCAGCACTGCATCGTGCCATGCAAGGGAGCGCGGACTCCGAATACACTTACGATTGGCGATCGACTTGGGGCCCCGAGTCAAAACCCCAGATGCACGGGTCAATGTGAGTTTTTTTGATGCTGGCCATCTTCCCCCGTTCGTGGACTGCCGACACGGGAGGACCTAACGGGACAAGAGAACAAAGCTGCTACTTGTAATGTCATTTGGAAAGTTTCTCATGTTGAGCTCAACTTCTTACCACAGGTTGGGGTGTTACATGACGCAACATGATGATTGCTCGTCGTTTGCGGGGTGGCAAAAAGCTTCAGCGCCAAGATGTATTCCTAGTGCTGGTGACTGCTAGTGCTGCAAGTGCGGATCGTACGAGTCACAAGACTGCCCGTTGTTAGGTCAAGGCGGCGCTCAGATCCACGGCGTGCGGATGATTGGCGGAGTCCTTCGCCAGGCCTGGGTTTAGTTGAGCCTTTGAGATGCTGGTTTAGGGCCTGATATCTCGGGACAATCCTCGACTGATCGTCCGCGACTGATGGAATCCTGGCACCGAAGCATTTACGTAGCAACTTGTCAAAGGCCTGGTTGTTGCTGCTTCGTCATGCGCTTCAATGATTGAGGGCATCGAGGTGCTCGAGACACCTCGACGGGGTTGATTCCAGTCGTCGACTCAGTAACCCTTCGCTTCATTCCAACATGCAGTCATTACTCGCAATGCCTTGGAGCTGGGCAGTCAGCACACCTAGATGGGTGGTTGTATACGTTGTGCTGAGGCATACCCGCAGGCTGTAATCAGCAAATGGGCCACGACAGTATGAAGCCTGTATGCGAACATGTCGCTCAGACCGACTATGGCGATGACCACTATGTAGCTGCCAACATGAAGATCGCTTCGCATCCAGGAGCGGGCATGTGTCCTCCAAACGATTCACGTTCGAACCCGATGGGCTTCGACGTTTCCTGGTAGTGAGCCACATGGAATCCTGGCAGGACACTACATGAATCATGAAGCCAGCCATCTCATCAACCCACTGTCGTGACCTTGGCTGGTGCATGGGATGTTAGGGCCACGTCCGTGCCTCGCAGATCGCAGCGCCTGCAGCGCTGGCAGGTCAGTGGAGTACTGGGCTTCCCTACCTGGACAAGTTCGCGACCAGGCCACTGTCAGCTCAAGGGGGGCACGGACTCGACAGTTCGGCTAGAACCCCTCTGTTTCTACGTTAGTTAGATATCAGATCTAAGAGCTGAGTGCTGAGACACGGAGTTTCAGAGATCTCCGTGTATCGCCTGGGCCTCGAAGTCTGCGAAGTCTGTGCCTGCTCGAATTGGTAGGTGTCTCTCAGAATCTCGTGTTCCAGCTTGCAGCATCTCTCCCGACGGACAGACTATACGTAGGAATTGTGAAAATCGGTGGTGTGGGTGTTGGTGTTGACAGTCCACTCACAAGCAGGAGGGCTCAGTTGGTGTTGTTGTTGCTGCTGCCGCGGTCTGGGGGAGCGTTGTGCAAGAACTTTACAACTCAAGTCCAGGCCTTCGCCTTCGAATTTGAGCAGGGCCACGTCCTAGCGGCGGTGGAGTGGAAGGAAGCCCAAGCAGTCCGGATGTGAAGTTTGGGACTTATGGCTGCCGGGGCTACACGTAAAGGTTTCTGGGAGCACCACCGACAAGGCATGCTCCAAAGTCCTTTGCATTGCTGTGATGGAGCCGATGTCCCGCTTGTCTCGTGTATTGACGACTGCCCAAGTGCAGGACAGGGGCGACGGGATGGGTGTGCAGCGACTCTTGGAGGCACTCAGCGCTCAGAAGTCCTCTCCCAGATTCTTCGTTTCCAAGAGCAGACCGACCATCAATTTGTATCTTCTCAGGTCTCTCACTGGAAGCAAAGGCTGGGGCCGGGCTCAAAACCGATGGTCGGTAGCACCGTCTCTGAGTGTGTTCTGGAAGAGACTCGACCGTTCATGCGCTCCAGCACCTTGCAGAGGTTAATGGAGAATGGCAGAAGCTTTCCACTTGGGAAGCTGCCAAGAAGCCGGTTTGGCAGGCCGGGTCGAGATCAGTGGCAATACAGTTAGTACCAGTACACTGGACCAACTCCCAGGGCAAAGATCAGAGACTTACTGTGCTGCTGCATAGAGGTTCACAAGATGACAATGTCCATGCGAAGTAGCCTCTGGAGGCTCACGCATCCCGGCTTATATGGCAAAGCGCCTGGTATATCAAAAGCTCCGAATCCATGATTTGTGCAGAGGTGCCCCTCTTCCGCCCAAGGTTTCTCCAGAACCACGGAGATGAGAATCATCTTGTCGTTCAAGCAGTCAGGCCTGAGAAGAGCACAGAGGAGCAGGTTTTTGAATTTTAAGTTTTGGGGTTGGCCAGCATGTGGATGGCATAGACTCTGAGAGCAAACCACTTCTTGTTCACCCTACCAATTGCTTTCGACCGCTTCCCCGGCTCGAAGCTGCTCGACTTCACAAAACACCAAGCTGGGTACCCCCATGCACAGTAGCTCTCAGGGCAGCCGGAATGAGTGAGGTTTCACCACATCGCACTGCTTGCTCTGATTCTCTCTGTCGTCCTGAATTGTTAGATGTCAAGCCTGCGGAGGTTTGTCATCAAGCTGCAGAAGACAGAGCCAGCACACAACGCCTGGTACCCAGCCTCTTTGCAGTGTTCGAAGTGTACCGTATGTGGCGCCACATTCAAACCTTGATGCCCCGACTTGCCAGAGAGTCTGTCTCAATGCACGGGCACTCTTGCCACTTAACCTGAAAACAGTATGAAATATTCGTCTGTCGCACTGCTCAACAGACAGGCTTGGCAGTGTTTCTTTGTGGCTGAAGCCATGCCCAAGTTAGAGGCCTGCAGAGAAAGGTCACGGATCCTGACCAAACGGAAACCCTTCATGTGTTGCTGACCTGTCGTGTTACTCCTGTAACCCTAAACCCTAAACCGTACAGCGCCCGATATACTCCAGTTGCAGACTTGGGTTGCTCGATGGTTAATTGCTATAGTGAGCTGTAGCCGGCACGGAGAAGTGTGGAATTTGCTGTTCGGTTGCTGCTTGGCTGCCTGAGGTGGGATATCCGCAAAAAATTACCAGACAGATCTGGGGCGACCGCAGGTTCACCGACGTGGAGGCCTGCCACCGGCTTGCCTGGGAAAGGACAACATCAGCGAAAACCTCCTGCAGTACTCGACACGCCTCGCTTCGCCATTTACCTGCGCATGTCGGTCCGATCACTGCTCAGGTCATTTGCGGTGAGCAGCATTTCCCAGTTCATCGTGCCGCGATCTTACCGGAATTTGCATAGACTGCCGCACGGGGGCAGACGCACCACATGAGGTTTTTGTCGTAGCATTGGAACTATCATTCGCGGTACTGGTGCGCGAAAATCGCTTATGCCAACGGACAAACACGGAAGCTTGCGGCACGAGCTTCTGGGTGGAGACTTCGTTTGTGAGGCTGTGCTTGCAGCGGCTTCCACTGTCTTTGCTGCGATGCTTGGAGCAGAGATGAAGGAAAGCCACGTCGTCTGCTCAGATATCGTTGACACCACTTTCGTCCACTACAGCGTGACCACACCTCTACCTCGTGTCACCTCCATAGCGGTTGCTTCGGAGAGGCTTGCAGAGCCCAGGCACGCGAGATAGTAATCTCCGACACAGACGAGGAAGCTGCTCAACTGCACTGTGAGACGAGACCACAGCGGCTTTCCACTTCGTAGAATGACATTGCCCTGAGTCCGTCCAGCACATGCTCGAGTACATCTACACAGGCCGGTGACCCCGTGCTTGCTGTCCCATCAGCCGCAAGCTGTGGGCCATCGCATCCGATGCACAGGTTGCAAGCGCTGCCAGAACGTGCACAGTTTTATCACCTCAATTGGTTTTTGTCGGGGTTGTACAGGCTTCAGGCAATGATGCGAGTTACGGCACTGCCATGAAATATATGCCGACAGAAACTCTTGCCAGCTGTGCGGATCCCGTCTCGTCTTGCGAACATATTGCTTGCGCTGGGCGCAAAGTTCCTTGCTGCTTGCACAGGCTGTGTGGCAGAGAGAGCTGGCTGTGGCATGGTCCAACACTCGGCTGATGCAAGTTGCAGCTGTAAATCATCCATGTTGCGTTGGATTAGGTTCGACAGCATTACCTTACAATACCAGTAGCTCTTCGGTAGGTTGGTGGTTGCTGGATTCATCACGATGCGAATGCAGCTCACCTCTGGTTTTGATGCTCATCTGTCTCTCCCTGAAGCTCTGCAATTTCGGCACAGATTGTGCAGAAGCCTGTCTGCAGGTGCCCACTTAGCTTGGGACAGAAACGCATGCACCGGGGGCAAAATCTTTCAGATCAGATTATCCAGAATGGTGCATAGAACGGATCTCAAGTCTTACACTAGCAAGCTGTCTTCTGGCTTCGTGCCATGTTCTGCTGACATGGTGCAGTTGCGCGGACTCGGCAGAAGGACTGCTCGTCAAGTTCAATGGTTCGGAAATGTTCTCTTTTTATCTCACTGCAGGCCTTGGTCGCGGAATCGGGCACCGACTGCGGCACCTGCACCTGTCTACAGGCCGCGAGGCTCCATCGAACAAGAGCAGGCCAGGAAGCGCAAAAAAGGTCTGAGATCAGTTGTGGGCAACATCGAGCCAGGCACGTGCGGCTCGCCAGCAGGAAGAGCTGATTCAGCACAATCTTTTGGAGAGGCTGGTCTAAAATGCTGGCCTGCTTTGCATTTGGATGTAGGACAGCAGATGGCCTTACGGCATAGACATGCATCCATGCTCGCAGGTCTCCTGGCTCACCTCCAAAGACGATGGTGACAAATAGCTGGATTCGGGAACCGTTTATTTGGTTTTCACCTGCGGCACGAGCATACAGGCACGAGTGCCTGACTCTAACTACAGTTTTCAAGCTCTTGATCGTTACCAAGTGTTTTTGTGCTTGCTTGTAGAGCGTGCATCAGACAAAATCAGACAACACGCACACACACACAAACCACTTACATTCCGAAACTGCGAAGCCAAAGTCCTGCGAGTGCGGCACGTGAAACCAATAAGCATTTTTTGCAAAGGTTGCCGCTTCTTCGCCCGATGTTCGCCAATATTTACCCGAACTGTGCAAAGTTTCGGCGGAAACGGGTCGTGGTTGACTCCGTCATTTCTTCGGAAGAGGCCCGCGAATACACTCATGATGCCAAAGATGCTCATGGTGACCCGCTCTTCCACATCGACGAAACCTTCGGCGTGGATGCTGAGTGCTCAACAGCCTTCCAGGATTGGCCGAAAAATCCACTGAACCAGGAGATTCAGAATCGCATACGCTTCTTGATACGACGGCACTTCAGCAGCTTGGATGTACAAGACTAACGCCAAGCCGTCGGTCAAGATTGCATATGACAGATGGGCTGGCTTGTGATGCGTTGTCCGACGCAACTAGCCTCTGACTGTCTGTGTGTTTGTATGCATCCATGCATGGAAGGATCGATGTGTACCAGACTGCTGATCCAGGATTTTGTTGCAGGGAAAGTGGGGGTGCGAAGCCCGAATCCTGGCATTCACTCGTAGCTCCGACAGACCAAGGCGAGAAGCGGCCGCTGCATCTGGTGGGAGCCATGCTACGTCGCACACGGCCTGGGGGCGAATGTGGTTATGATGCTCGAATGCTCTACATGTTTGTCTCGCTGGTACTTGGTAGGCGATTGTAGCTGCCGCACACCTTCGTCTACAATGCTTTGATCAGTCGATGGTTTCTTCGACTGATTTCAGCTGTATACTATGTCATATTTGCCGCAGGATTGTTTTTTTTTGCATGTTTTTTTTGCCTTTTGTTTTTTCGTGGTCTGCTGCGGCTTGTATGGCTTGTCTGGGGGTCTGGCGCAGCCGGGCGACAGGCAGGATGCAACCGTTGGAAATATATATATATATATATATATATATATATATATGTATATGTATATGTATATGTATATGTATGTATGTATATGTATATATATATATATATGTATGTATGTATATATATATATATATATATACATCTATACAGATACACACATAGATATATGCATATACATATATGTGTATATGTATATGTAGGTATATCTACATATATATGTATGTATATATATATATATAGCCGACCTTAACTCGGGCCAGTCCGACAAACTGTACGCCGAGAGCATGAGAACCACAATGCGGAGCATGGCGTCCGACCTGAGATTCGCTTCCATCGACATATTCGACGAGAACCTCCCAGCACAAGAGCCACGGACCAGCCTGGCCAAGAAGAACGTTGAAGAGGCAAGGCAGGAGGCGGAACTGCACGGTGCCGATGCTTTTGTTGAGACCTGCAACTCGGAGGGCTGGGGCGTGTCGGGTCTGGACGTGCTCCCCTGCGTCACACCGACGCACCCCATCTACTCGGTGCGCCTGCAGCGATACATCACGGTTGCAGAAATGTTCCGCGTGCAAGTCATCTGGAAAAACGACTTCGGAAATCCTGAAGCAACCGAGGAGATACTGAACAGCGATACCTGTTCCCAAGATTTGTGTGAGAATGCCTTTGCGGCTACATCCCAACACAAGAGCACATCTTCGCGGATTGCCTCGATCAGATGGTGCAGTCCGTGGGCCCGAAGCACAAGGAGCAGAGAGACGAGAAGAGGGATGCACAAGCGCAGTTGGTGTTGTCGCGAGGACCCCAGAGAACTGGCAAGAAGCCCACGATCAGCATCTTCACTAAGGTGGAACTGATGCGAGATAACCAGCCCTTTCTTGGTGTCACACCGAGTTAGGGCAGGGATACAGGACACGCCCAGTCCGCATCGGATTCCCTGCCGAGGGAGAAACCATGCTGTCTTTTGCTAGCCTTGACATCATCGACTTGATCTTGGAGAGCAAGAAAACGATGGAAGCAAGACATCGGAATGTTCGATCAGGCACCTACTGAATGTGCCACACGTGTCTTCTGAATCCTTCCCCTTTCTTGGTGTCACACCGAATTAGGGCAGGGCTAGGTTCCTGGAGGCACCGTGTGGCCTTCAATTTATATAGCTATATATACATATGTATGTTCAAGTGTGTATATATATATATATATATATTATTTATATTTATTCATGAAGAATATCGGTATCACTTCGTGGCCACACGTGTCAACAATGGTTCTCGACCATGGAGAATCGCTGCATTGTGACGATGCAGGAGGAAAATGCAACAATGACATATTGCGCATTGGCTTTTTGTGCTGCAACAGGAAGTGACATGCCACGCTGGCTTTATATGTATATATCATAAGAAGGGTTGAGTTTCCAGTATGTCGCTGCCGAGGTTGAGATGTTTGATCCGAATTGGGCAGCTTCACACCTTTGTACTTCTCCGAGATTTCCGAGGCTGTGGTCAGAGTGCATTCTGAGTTTATTATATCTTTTTGTATACAGCTATATATATATATATAGACAGATTGTGGTCGAGGGGTGTAAATTTTGTGTTGATAAGCGAGAGTGCGGACCTCAGGTTGGCTGGCTGCCAGTGGGCCTCTCTTCTTCTTTGCCCGGGCTCACCAACCATTAGCAGCCGTTGCAGATAGAATATTTTTGAGCCCGTGGGCCCTTGCAAGCCTCGTCGCTGCCTTTTCTGAAGAATACATCCGTGGACACGTCTAAGCGTTTTCGGAAGAGTATATGTATGTATGTATATGTATGTATATATATATATATATACATCATTCCTTTATATATAGGGGCTCCTGAAGAGTCTTGTGGGCTTTTGCGAGGCTTCGTGATGCCTTCCAACGGTTGCATCCTGCCTGTCGCCCGGCTGCGCCAGATCCCCAGACAGGCCACAGCAGACCACGAAAAAAAATACCACTTAAACAAAACACAATAAAATCTCCAGCCCAGGATTTGCCACATCCAATGTGGCCAAAACAACATGCAAAGCTTAAGACTGCATCGTCCGTGCTGGCAAGATTCAGCAGCACGCCCGTTTGCATTCTTTTGAAATCTCCTTATCCTTCGACGGCGCAGGAATGAAGGGCCGTAGGTCGTTTCCTCCACTTGCACATTCTGCAGTGTCCGCTTCTTTTGCCTCGCGAGGTTTCCCTAGGAAAACCTGTATTCTTTTCTTTTTCTTGAAGCAAACGAAACGAAGGAAGGAAGGAAGGAAGGAAGCATCGTCTCTTGCATGTGCTGCCCGAACCGGACCTAGCTTCGGAGGAACCTGGGAAACTGCAGATTGTAAGCATGATTTGTTAGGCAGAAGTTCGGCAGAAGACACAGCGTTTGTGGGAGCAAGCACAGTAAGCTCGAGTGTCCCACCCTTCTCATATAGTCACGCGCACCCAATGTGCTACGACCAAAACCTAAATCGCATGCCGCACTCTATTTTGGGGTTAAATTATTTATTTTTTGTGTTGCTACAACTAACATGCCGATAGTTTGCTTGCATAGCGATGAGGTGATTAGGCTGTGCTTGTTTGAACACAGGGCAGGCTTCTTCCCATGTCCTGAATCACTTCGGCCCCGTCCATGCTTCCAATCTTAGCAAGACTAGATGTGTTTTGCAGCATGCCATGGACTCTGCAGAATCCGAGGATCGCGGTCCGACAATTTGCCATGTGGACAAGGCAAACATCAGAATCTTGGACGCAAGCCTTCACGCAATCACATAAGTTGTCCACGCTGTTGATGTTCAGGTAGAAGACAGTTGCTTGCATGAGTTCGATATAGTTGATGGCCAGGAGGCTGCAGGTTTGTGCCTCGAAGGCTACTACGACTACAGCGCCATTCTATACCTCTCAACGAAGGGTACCGACTTCGAAGGAGGAGGGATAACCCTCGAAACACAATTGTTCGAACCAGGGTGCATCCGCCCCAGCCCTCCACTGGTCGGAGTGCAGGACAACTGGCATTCAACGATCCTTATCGGGACGAGCTGGTGGAGCCCCGTTTGGGACGGTGCGTGATGTTTGCATCTGGACCACAACACTTGCACCAAGCTAAGGCCAGAGCTTTAACGTGTCACGGGCGGGCAAGGAAGTCGAACCTATCCGCTTGTTCCCGAAACGAACATGACATGCACCCTGCGTCGACAACCTGCTAGTTGATTTGCTTCGGACTCGGGACGGCTTCGAGTCGGCGTTCACGCAGTCGGAGTCTTGCACAGGCTGTGACAAGTGGAACAAGAATGATCATGGCTATGTGGTACAGCCTGAACTGTAAGCTTCACGGAGAACGCGTCCACATGGTGTGCGAAGCGAGGACGAGACAAAAAGCTGCGCTGACGATGTTCTTCAAATATTGCGTGTTTCACTCCGACTTAGGCATGTTCATAGACAAACCAGGATGTCCATCGCAAGGTGAGCCTATAGTGCGTCTGTCAGCAAGCCTTACCAAGCTTCAACAGCTGCCAAACTATGTGGACTGCCCGCTCCGAGGTTGTACTCGGCCACAAGTACGATATTCCCGGTCTCGTCGAGTATGCAGCACCTGTCGCCATGGACGGCATGTTTGTTCGCGCACACGAACCGCTAAAATCGCATCAACGAGGGAGAGGACTTTGCAAGTAATTTCCGCATGAGCAGTGATGCAAGCTCCGTGTTCATGCCAGGCTCTTGGAAACATTAATCCAGAGAACTGCGTCAGCCAAGTTCGGATATTGCGGGTCCCTGACTTATCTTGGTGACATCCGCCGATGATCATAGCTTGGTAGCCGACATGATCAGAAGGGCACGGCCCTGAGGCCTACCACGACGACGAGAGGCTCGGGCCAGTTTTCGAGGCGAAATGGAGCCGGACGTACACGGACACATGGGCAAGCAAGGATTGCCAATTGCATGAGCCATTTAGCACACGATCTGTTGAGAGCGGGATATAATGTGAGCATGCACGGCTGCTGACCGTCTGCTGACCTGCTTGCACAGCCTGATGGAATACTGTGAGGCACTGCTGAACAAGATCCATGAGAGTCCCCAGATCTTTAAGTCTGTGATGCTGGGCTTTTGAGGCGCGCCGAGATTGATAGATCACGATCGCAACATGTGTGAGTCACCTGTCAAGACGCTGAGCCTTGCTCAGGTGCGAGATGCAGAAAGCAAGCTAGATCTGACCTGTACAGCATTACCAGACGGCCCGAATCTTGGGGAGTGAGAGTCTTATTGGAAAATTTTACGGAAGCCTGCATCATGAACCCTGAGGACTTGCCCTCGTCACCACGAAAGCACCGATTACGGCGATGTCTGATTCGCTAATTCGCTGCTGTGCTGCCCCGAGAAGGCAAGGAAATCCAAGCATCAAAGCCAACTCGAGCCAAGTCGCGGTATGAGCACCATGTTACATTGCAACATTTGGCTCTGAGAAAGGGGGTGTGCGAAAGCTGCGAAAGTCTGTCAATGCACACAGAGCCCTTTGCGTGCTCCTCGGACCGAGGGTCCCGTCGCATGCAGAAAACTTACACTCTGTGTGCTCAGCTACAGTTCAGCTGAACTTCACGACGAGGCACTGGACCTGTCAGAGAAGCGACAAGAAGCAAGAAGCAAGAGCTCCAACCCAGCAGGGCCAGTGCCTGAAGTAAATTTGGCCTCCTAGAGCTCTGGTCTCACAGACCGCTGATATGACATGCTTTTGACACCTGAGACTTTGAGACACACTGTAGACCTTGAGCTTGGGACGCCCGCAAGCGGCGAGATGCACGGAAGAGCTGGATTTAGTTGCGTTTCACGGCAACATCGGTCCCCAGCGGAAGCTTTCCGCACAGTGGACTCTGAGCTCCGCATGCGAAGGGCCGAAGAAGCAGCTTCGAAAAGATGCTCACAATGTGCCAGTACGTGCCAGTTCCATGCTAGGCCGAGCGCTTTGCCGGTTCCCGGCTCTGTGGTTCACAGGTTCAAGCGGGAGAAGGGAAGTAGAAGAAAGCTTGCTGCGCAGCTGGAACCGCTAGGCACGAAAATGTCGCACCCTATGGGCTACATCCTCGATCCTGAGCGTATACCGCCAGAGTTGGAGCCCTTCAAAGACAGGCTGAGTCCGAACTTCTACGAGGTCAGAAAGCGCATCATCGACTTCATCAAGCAGGACATTCTTCCAGCAATGCCTGTCTATGGTCAGCAGTACAGGGAGGAAGTGGCAAAGTTAAAAGATCGCAAGCCTGCATCGCCTCATGAAGATCCTGCATACACAAATCATCCGGTTTGGGCAGCCTCGCCACCCATCGCGGCAACCTTGAGACAGAAGGCGCAGGAGCGGGGCTTGTACAACTTCTTCCTCCCTGAAGTTGGGAACCTTGGAGTGCTGGAGTACGCACCGATCTGCGAGATTTTGGGAGCCTTCGGGCTCTGCAATGTGGCCATGAACTGCACAGCCCCGGACACGGGCAACATGGAAGTCCTCGAGAAGTATGGCACGCCCGAACAGAAAAAGCAATGGCTTGAGCCATTGCTTGCAGGCACCATTCGAAGTGCCTATGCCATGACTGAGCCAGGCGTTGCCAGCAGTGATGCCACGAACATCAGTGCGACCATTCAGAGAGATGGTGATGAGTACGTAATCAATGGACACAAATGGTACATTAGTGGTGCGTGCAGACCGGAGTGTAAAGTGTTCATCTTCCTGGGGCGATCTGGGGGTGATTCCACACATAAGCAGCATTCTATGATTCTGGTGCCACGTGATGCCAAAGGAGTGCACATCATCCGTCCTTTGGGATTGTTCGGGCACATCCACGACCATGCCGAGATCGTGTTCGACAATGTTCGAGTGCCTGTTGGGAATATGCTCTTGGGAGAGGGCCGTGGCTTTGAGATTGCGCAGGGCCGCCTTGGCCCTGGTCGTATCCATCACTGCATGCGCACAATTGGCACGGCTGAGCAGGCGCTGGATGCGATCATCCACAGAGTGCACAAACGCGTGGCATTTGGAAAGGCCCTGGCCAATCATGCAACGATCCGCCAGTCCATCGCTGAAGCACGGATGGAAATCACAAAGTCAAGGCTCTTGTGCTATCTCGCAGCAGTACAGGCGGACGAGCACGGTTTCAAGGATGCCAAGTCCTTCATTGCAATGACAAAAGTGGATGCCCCCAGAATGTGTCAGAAGATCATTGATGAGGCCATCCAGATTCACGGTGCGCACGGCGTTAGTCAAGATTCGCGTTTGACCGATCTGTACCATCACGTGCGGCATGTGCGGCTTGCTGATGGTCCGGACATTGTGCACTTGAACACCATTGCCAAGGAGGAGTTGAAACGTAAGTCCTCGGTTATGGGCGAGATGGTAAGTGGCATTAACAAGAACATCGACAAGCGTCGCCGGCTTGTTGGGGGAACGCAGGATTAGATAGGCTAAGTTTCTTGCTACGTCAGCTTGATTCTGTGTCATGCATTGCAGTGCAGTCGTCCCTAGACCTGCTGGCACAATGGCAGGTTCGGGAAGTTTGTGAACGTCGTGCCTGACACGAGAGCTCGGCTTTAGTTTAGCATGCACAAGCGTTTGTGCCTGAGCCACATGTAGAGCGTCCGCAATGCCGGTCAAGATGAACCAAATCTTATCGACGGAGCGTGCTTGATAGTCTACCAGGAGGACTCGGATCAGCACAGAAAGCTGAATGCATGTAAATCCAGAAGTTTATCTGAGTGTCCGGCTTCCTTGGCTCAACTGTCGAGTCAATCGCAAGGTTGGAACCGAGCAAGCCCAGTGCAAAGGCAAAGACCTAAAGCCAAGACCATGCGCCACCTACCCACCTGCTGGCAGCAGGACGTGCTAGCACGGTCATCCTAGTTTTCTTGGGTGACGTCTCGCCATCAGCTTGTTCGCAAAGATGTCGACATCATGGGACGCCGACCAGGACACTCATGAAGGGGAAATCGCAAGAAGCAGACAATCGTGTACCTCTGCCGGCTACAGGAGCGACTTCCACAGATGATCTCCAGCGAGGACGTGGCCGAAAGGCCCATCTGCACTTCGAGACTGACTCGAGCAGAGACTGAACTTCAGTGCTCACACAGGCAGCGCCTGGCTGACCTCAAGCAGTTTCGAAAATACCTGGCGGCGTCCCCAGTATGCTCGGCGATACAACGAACACAGGCCCTACAAACAAGCACAGACCAAGAGCAGTCACATTTGAGGTTGAAGCTGGAACTGTCCAGTGCTTGGTCAAGATGCTGGTGGCCTAGTGGATCGGAGCTGTTGTTAAGGTCCAGCGCTTTGCCAGAACAGTGCAGTTCTGACATGTTGTGGCACAAAGCGAGCTTTACAGCAAATCGGCAATGGTTCCTGCAGCCAGCCGCCTCTGCTGACTCATTCTCTCTGTGCGTTGAACTTGTCTCGGCTGCCATGTGCAGCAGCTAAAGGTACAAGCATTCTGTCAAGCACGAGATGCGAATTGTCATCCGGACTTGCTTGACACCTCTCTGTATTGCCGAGCGGGTACTGTAGAGCTCCTAATGTTCGCCAGCCCGATACCGTCCGTGCTAACTAAAGTTTTTGAAACAACAGCACCGCTGATGTCTGCCGAGCTGAGAGCAGGTTCCAAACCACAGAGTGAGTGGGAACCAAGAGAGGCTAGGCTTGCTTGCGCGCGACTCAACTTGGCACTGCTGAATGCAGCTTGCACAGTGCCTTCACTTTTGGCGCTTCGCAGTTGCCACGGTGATTGCCCAACCGATGTTCACCTAGACACTGGTTTAGGAACCGGAAATGCCAGAGTACCTCCAACAGTTTTAGTTTGAACTATGCGCAGCCCATGCATCGCCCTGTCAATATAACCGACCAATGTCGATGTCCCTGCACACTGAGAGACGCCTACCTGGACAGTCGATACAACCGACTTTTGGGCTCCGACATGCTCCGTCCGTCCTCCGATCGCCAGGACAACCCAAGCCTGGTCACACAGTTCCTTGCGGGCTACACGGATGGCAATCCCGACGCAGAGGCCGGCAGCGCAGTGAAGCTCCTACGTCCGAAGCTGTGATGGAAGCCAAGATCTTATGTGCAGTGTCTCTTGCAGGAGATCCAGACACTTCAGCGAGAAAACGCATGACCCCTCAGCTTGACGGTTAGATCCCGGAATGACTCTTGTGCTGATAGTTTCATGTAGGAACAGACACATGGGTTGGCACCGAAACTCAGATGTGCTGAAGCAGTTTCACATCGCTGTTTAGTGTCGGGAATCAACACACTCACGTTACTCCCAAACCGCCATGAATGTTTCATTGTTCTTCATGTGTTACTTGCAGCTGCAAGCAAGCCATCGCGTGATGACTCACGCCTCTTTCAGCACTACGTCTTGCCGAGTGCGTCGGTTCTGAAACAGCAAGTGCCAGGAAGGCCCGATCGTGCTTTTGGTGCCTTCTAGCACTTGACGACATACGCAAGCTACCCGATGAGGCTACACTCGAAGAGTACAATGCCGTGATGGAGTCGCAGGTACTGCTCGGGACTGCTTGTGGCTTGCTGGCCTGCTTGCCATGTCGACGAGTGTCAGATACGAGCTGTCGCAATCTGCAAAGGTGAAGGACCTGCAGCACCAAATCGAACGGCAGAAGAGGCAGCGGTATCGCATGCGTTGTGAGCTAGAGTTCAGAACCGGACGGACCTTTGTTGCTTCGAGTCTCCGAGGAGAAACCTCGGCCGTGGCATTTGGCGTCGTTTGTGTCCAGACTCGGAGGTCGTGCACTCGAAGCCACGCACACACTCCTCGCGGAGTACCTAGCCAGACTGATGCCGAAAACAGCGGCCTTGTCCGACAGCTTCAGCCAAGGCAGATGTGTCCTTGGACGAGCCATCGCCTCAGTACGTTTCGAGCACTCAGCCTACAATCAGCCTGACTGATTGAACGCGTCATGTAGACGTTTTCGAGAAAAGTGCAGCCAGCAAAGGGCAAGAGATGATCAAGATCATGCACCGAGCATCGTCCTTTGCAGAGGCTCTTCATCCGGCTTTGCGGCAACGAGGCAACCTGCCGCGAGAGATGTTTGGAAGCCTGTGGAAGCCTCACCGTCTGCAAGCGAGGTTGAGCCCTCCACGGGAGAAGTGCTAGTTGACCTCCTGCGGCCGCAGATGTACAAAGACATCGACCTGGCTCGACTCTCAGCGTCCACGATATCGACGACTTCTGCCACTGTTTCGTGCCTCGTCAGTCTTTGTAAGTCACAGGTCACGGCGACACGCGTTTCTCAAGAAGACTTCATAGAGATTGCCGAGACCTGAGCAAAATCCACAAAGACAGGGTCAGCCTGCCGCTTTCTGGCTTCAGGTAGGCGACATGGAGTCCGAAAGGCGCCTTTCCTGGTTGGAGGAACTCTTTGCGAGGCCACGGCAGTGATTGAAGACGCGGGGGGTACAAGCGATTGCTCAAGCCCTGCAGGCTGCAAGACTCAGAATCAGGAGAGGCGCCGTATCAACGGGAGCTCATGCAGGCGACTGGCCCCACCAAAGTGTCGAAGCAGACACAGCGCAGTTACTACTACTTTTGTTGCTTCAATGCCCTTCGTATGCGTATCTTGCATTGGAAGCCCTTAGAAGCATCTCTTCAGAAATGAAAGTGGGCGTGCTCCCTGCTGATCACTCAAGACTACATGGCGAGGGTTGAGCAGCGCAGCTGAGAAGTACCACAATTGAGGGCAGAGGTCTCCTTCGCATGCTAGAAACGAGACTTGGTCACACGGCTGCTATCAAGCATCCGGTGGAAAGGCCATCATTGATTCGGATCTGCTTCCCCACGATACGTTTCTTGTGCGGGCCCAAGGTGTTTTCAAGTAACTCTGCAGCAGTCATGCTCTCACATCCGCAGAAGATGCATGATGACATTTCCAATGTGCAATGTTTGGCAGCTGGCGGATGCCGTCGAGCTTGATGAGAATCTAGTGGCTTTCCTGGAGGCCAAGCTGCATCTGCTCTTGTGAATCCCTGTCTCGCAAGCGCTGTTGAACCCTAGTCTCACAGTTTCTTTATCGGTGTCTGCCATGCCTCGTCTAAACTTTACTAAATCTAGTGAAGGTTTTGGCAAATTTACAACCAGGACGTGCTCCAAAACTCTGCAAATCGTTCTTATCAGATGTGCAGCTGCAGCTGCCAGGTGATCCCAGGACAGGTAGTGCGTCCAGACAGGGATGGATCATTCACTGGGAGAGCTGCGCAGGTAGTCGCTGCTGGCCGAAAGGACACAAGGGAGGGAAGCTGTCAAATACTTCTGTTCGATACTGCGAGAAGCACTTTCGCTGCCTTACATGAGTCGAAGCCATCGGAGCTTTGCGTTTATGGGACAAGGAAACAGCAGCGCGGGTGGCCGTCATGCTAAAGCTTATATAATTATAATTTGGGCATGTTCACATGCCGATGCATCAGGTCAGCAAGCGTATTCATACACTTTAGCACCCAGTCTTGTCGTCGAATGTACTGTCCGTCAGGCTTTTTTCTCCAGCTTTCCTGCGGGTAGACTGCACTCGCGAACAAGCTGCGCAACTGGTGCAAACCAGGGTGTGTGCGCGAAGTAGCAACAGAAGTGGCAGAGTAAACGTTCTGCAGCTGGGCTGTGCCACAACCTTGCATTCAAAACATTGCTGAGCGATGATGAAAGAATGTCAAGGACGCCCCGCCTCCCGCCATATTGGAAGAGGAGGCCTGTGGGCTGTCGCGGCAGATGGAGGCTTCACCAAGTTGCTTGGGTGCCAGGGTGATCAGGAAGAAGAGCCGGTCGCTCAAAGGATTGAAGTTTTGCTGTGCATGGTTCAATCCCGGGTCCACCTGTGCCCACATAAGGCCAGCTGACTGAGTCATTTGGTTTCGGTGTGTCACCCTCCCACTGAACACAAGAGGAATCATAGAGGCATCAAACTAACTCGACCCCAGAAAGAGTTTGGCCGGAAGAACACCTCTGGCCAGTTGTTTCACTCCCGTGGCTTTTCAAGCGCCTCGCCCGCTCCGCCGCTGAGCCGTGTAACTGCATGCGCAAAACGGTGCCAACATGGTTTCATGCAACAGCACCATTTCATGGCAGTAGGCATATTTGGACACAAGTGTGTGACGAGGGTGAGTGCGGATTTGCGGTGGCGCTGGCTCAAGCTTTGAGCGCGAGTGGTCGGAACACTGGCCAAGGATGAGGAGGCCCCTGAGCGCCAGAACTCCTGCCCTGCAGTTACAATCCCTTGCAAACGTCCGTTCTTTTCAAGCAGGGCCCGCATCGTGGGCTTGTGGCTCCTCGCAGCGAGGGCTTGTGCCAGTGTGAGCTGTGGCGGCCAGACTGCAAGTGTGGCCAGCACTGCAGCAGAGCATCTCCACCATGGCCGCTGCCCCGAGTAAGAGAGAAACCGCGTCACCACGTGTCGGAGTGCTTATACTGCACACTGCGGCTTTGCGAACCTTCCACGCAGCCAAGATGACAGTGAGTGCGAGCAGCCGGACGCAACTGGCTTGGTGCAGGTCACTCAAAAAACTAGGGCGAAAGCGAGACTATGCAGCACACAAAAGTCCGTTTTCTGTTCAGATGCTTTTCGACCGATCCGGTGGGGGGGCCATAAGATCTGAGGAACGAGGCTGAACCAACCAATCCAGACTTCGGGCCAAATGTCATAGCACCCGGGCTGCATACGGGGACGTTCCCAGCAACTTGACGTTTCATTGTTGTCTTCCCAGATCTTGGAACCTGGGGCGGCCTCCTCGGCAATCGAGGAGCTGATCGTAAAAAGGTTTCCTGTGCTGACAGAAAGCTCGGGTCGGTGCGCACACCTCGTGTTTCCGAGTGCGAGGACCGCCTCCAAAGCCTCTACGAGCAATACGCAATCTGGCAGCATTAGAAGCGTTAGAAAAGAAAGGGCTGGACTGGAGGACCGTCCTTCGGTCCATCACAGACGTGCAAAGAAGAGCTCGGAACACGTGTCGTGCGATTTCTGCCCGTGGCAGATTAGCTGGGACGAAGATGCCCAGTTCGGCGATCACCGCACCGCCATCTTCTTGAAACCCGGAGAGCACCAGGCGCAACAGGGAGGAGAGCTGTCAGTGGCACCTTCACTGCGCTTCGCCACCGGTAGGTGGATGTGAATCTATGGTACTACTCTGGAGTCCATGGCCTCGGCGTGAGCCCAGAAGACGTCGTTGTGAAGCCTGGTCTCCGCGGGGAGGGAGTTCGAGTCGAACAGCAGCCACCAAGTTACCCTGGCGGTCCCTTGCATGCAACACGGTACAGTCTAGTATCCCGTGTGTGGGCAGATTGCTCGGCAGGCAGCTAGGTCATGCTGGCAACATAGAAAATTCGCCCTTCAACATGTTTTCAAGGTCCCCTGCTCCCGAATACGTCACCTGTCCGCACAGAGTAGGCTTCGTGTCTGTTCTGTGCCTGTGATTTGTCATCTGGTTTCAAGACATGTCATGCTTCATCGCACAGTGTGCAGCCTGTACTGCAGGAACACCTTCTGGCGAACGATCGAGAACGTGCATGTTGCTCAAGGCAAGTTGGACTTCTTCGTTTCCCAAGCTGCGCCACTGAGATCCGAGACTTGGACAAAAGAAAGTATCTTTTCCATTCTGCTGGTCTAGCTGGCAAGCGTTGAAAGTACCGCCGTGTCAAAGCACAACATCACCATGTCAGTCTGCCGCACCGTTTGTGCCAGTTGTTTCGCAGCTGCCGTAGCCGCAACCGCATAAGTTCCAAACAATGTGTAGTGATGTCGCGCCAGAGGACAGCCGAGTGCAGCAGTTCATCTTGCCAAGGCTCTGAAACATTGCACTGCATCGTGCGAGGGCTAACATCCTATGCAAGAACGAAGCAGCAAGCAACTGATCCATCGCAATCCCCAGTCTACAGCAGAAGCCAGACTTCCTTGAGTACACTACCATGAAGGGTAGAAAGGCTTCTGAGAAGTGATGTCAATGTCCCGCCACCGCTTGCAAGGTAAAGGTTGATGGCAACCTCCACCTGTCTGCCGGAGGTCACCGGCACTGTGAACAGAGGCGGCCTTGAGAGTTCCAGCTGTGTCTGGCATTCGCAGGTTCAGATTGGACTTCTGGCGGTGCTTTGATGAACTCCGACGTCAGCGGAAGCATAGTGACTGGAGCGGTGCCGAGAATCCGGTAGTTTTTCGAGGGCGGCGGTGTTGCATGTGACATGTAGCAGCACCTCGTCCTTGCTGTAGGCACGCAACAGCAGTGGTACACAAGAGGGACTTTGATGAGACCGTACGACCATCCAGCAGGCATGGGCATCGACTCCTCAAACTGAAGGATTTGAAAGAAAGATCAGGTGGCTGAGCGATTTCAAGTCACACGCCGGCGCAGGTCAGGGAAGCTATGCATGCATCTCCTGTGTCGATCGCGAAAGTGGTCTACCATTCTACGATAGCCTCCCGCTTGCACTCGCACTGGGCGACTTGCGCGCAGATTACGTGCGGTTGAAGCCGCTGCAGATCACGATGCCGCCCCTCCCAAGCTGCCGGCTGCGTAGCTTTGCACGTAGAGGTAACCTCGCCTAGAGTCAAAGGTTGGAACTTCGAGCAGCACCAACCAGATCAGACATGGCATAGTGGCTTAACGCACCATGGCTGCAGCTACTAGGGTGTTCGACGATGAATGGTGCTCGATTTTACGTCGCAGGGGTGTCGGCGCGTGTCGGAGGTACATGGGTGCCCCGGAAGTCTTTGCAGAGAAACCCTACATCTTCTTTCACGAGGCACACGAAAGAGATCCGGCTGAGACCCTCCAAATGCCACAAATGCAAATTTGGGAGGATGAAGTTTGGGGCAGCACAATGGGACGAATCAAAAGCAAAAAAAGCCTTAAGAAGATTATCGTCCTCACGCCAGGCTAGTATTCCGTTCTGCAGGCGAAGACCCCAGAGAGCTCCTGCAGTTCCGAGAAACGAACGATGGCGACATCATGCAAATATTGCTTGAGCTTAAAGCGTGAAGTTTTGGACTTGGCACTTTTTGGTTTCCCGAACGAAGGCATGACCCGGCCTGCTGTTCATTTACATGAGCTGACCCGACAGTTTCTGATTTCGTGCATGCAGGGCCAGTACAAGCTTCGCATCCCGGAGGTTGTACGCTCAGCAAGCCATGCAGATTCTTGTAGCAGATGGCTTCGCAAGGCTTCAGGAATCACTTGACATGCGGCAATCTCTTCTCGAGGTGCTGCAGAATCATGCTGGTCCGGACTGGCAGAGACTTGGCATTTATCTGTCGACTCGATTTAGGATCGAAGAAATATGATTCAACTATGTTTGTACAGATTTTACATAAAATCGCTGATGAGGGGCTGCCTTGGCATGTTGCCGAGGAGTGGCTCAACAGTGGGCTTTGAGAAGGTCTTTGTTACAAAAGCCGAGACCACCGCTGCACAAATCAACACCGCGATTGCTGCAGGAGCCTGGAAACCCGATCCGTGTCACTGCATTTAGGGAAGGGAAACTAGAACTGGATCTCTGCCATGGTGACTCTGCCGCCAAACTTGGCCAAACTCAAACTCCGCGTCACCCTCTGTCAGCCGGTCTTGGTTGCAGGAAAGCACATCGTGTTCACACCGGCGGTGTACTACTTGGACGAGCCCATAGTCGTTTGTTCGAATATATTCAATGTCAATGAGGTTACAGTTGGTGACGTCGAAGGCGACTGTTTCGATTGCCATCTCTCAACGCGTTGCAAGGTTGTCAACCACCCCAACACGGTTCTCCTTGGCCTTGGCGTCTTGCCTTGCCTGGTCAGCTGGGTCAGTTGAGGACTTTAGTTCTGTTAATTGCCCACATGACAAACGCTGGAAACCTGTCCCTCGCAACAGGCTTTGCAACTCTCATTCCGAAAAAGTTGCCCATCTTCATCGGCAGAGGAGTGATCGAGGCGCAAACACCCAGGATGCCTGCTTTGAAGACATCCATAGTCCTCGACTCTGTGCTACTTCGGAAAGGAAGGAATCCTTGGCAAAGGGCTGAGGCCTATTACCTACTTTGCATGTCGTCGTGTCCGGCAGGTTGGCAACGTCGATGGCGTTCGCCTTGCGGGAGTGTTCGTGACACTCGTCTGTTGGCTTCTGTTGTGTTCGGGCCGCCACCACATGGCGTTGAAATTCAACAGGGGCTCGTCGTCATATTTTGAGGCAGTAGTTCAAGCCCGGAAAAATTGACAAATATGAGACGCGGGAGTGCTTGTAGTAATGGTGAAGCCAGGTCATGCTCACAATGTGCTGCCGAGGCAAGCAGGACCCATGGACTCGCCCGACTTTTCGAAGGCAGTCGGTGCTCTGGTCAGGCGCGTCGCCGGAGTCCTCTTTTCTGATCTCTCCAAAGTTCCGATGTTGGCACCGTGCAAAAATAGCTGGTGCGAAACCCCAACAGTTCTGGCTTAGACTAAAGACATCATAAGGCATCTAAAGACCAAGAATTGACGTGGTGCTTCGTTATACAGGTGGGGCAAGCCCGAGGAGCCTTATGCGGGAACGAAGAGCAATCCTGGCGTCTCGCCTTCGGACCTCATGCAGTTTCTCAACCAGCTCCAGCTGGCATGATGCAGTCCGGTTGTATGAGCATTTCAATGTCAAAGTGGAACATGTTGAACGCCCACCACCGAGGGTTTATCTACGACTTCATCGCTCGAGTCGGTGGTCCAGATCACGAGCCTTCAGGAGAGTGCCCAAGCACCTGAAGTCCGAGCTCTCATGTTGTGTTTCTGAATCAAAACAGACCCGGAAGTCCTGAAGCCAAAAGGCGTTGGGAACATGCTGGAGATCCACAACGGATGGGTAGTTGGCGACAATCTTTGGCTGTGGAAAGCAGACCACTGTGTGTCCAAC